TCATATATATATATATATGTGTGTGTGTGTATATATATATAGATTGTCAACTGCAGCAAGAAAGGGGTTGTTAACTCTATGGAGTGGATGTTAGGAAGTAATTTCAAGTTTTGTTTGCGTGTCAATTTTATCATACATATCATATTGTTTCAGGTTGGATCAACCAGAGAATTGTATGAGAATGGCGGTTTTGAACAATAATAATATATATTGGGGTACCATTAAAAATTGAATGAAACTTTTTTAAAAAATTTCATAAAATTTATAGACAATTTTGCAAAAAAAAAAAAAAAATTCAATAAAGATACCTCCCCCACTAAGGACAAGGATTCTCTTCAAAAAAGAAGAAATTCTGCACACCCCACTAATAATGATGTCATATCAATGGTTTCTTGAAGGGGATCCTTATCCCCCACTAAACCCTTAATAGTTCGGTGCCTGTTTTCTGTTTATATTTTTAAAGATAATATTCATATTATACATGTAATGTATTTATCCAGGCTAGGTATTCATATTATACACATTATAATGCGTTCATCATTATGAATTTGAAAATAATATTCATATTTTTATAAACTCTTTCTCTCCCTTTTTAATTTTTTATTTGTGAGTCGTGTTGTTGCATAAGCATTGTCACTCCTTAGCGGTATCACGTCGCCATCGAATACTATTGATTATTAAGTTACACAATCATTCTCAACAGATGCTCTTCCTCTTGCTCTCGTTCCACTCTATATGACTTATGTTCATCGTAAGATTTTTCATAAGTGTATTTCAAGCTTCAAATTAACATATCTAATATAGAATATTAAAAGCTAGAAAAAATACTAATATGGTATCAATAATTAGAGGGGAAAAAATTAGAAAAGAAAACCTAATAATTCGCTATTGGCATGAGCAATTTGAGAGGCCAAATTATTGATTATGTTATTCAGAAAGTTTCGCATAGTTTGATTTGAATAAGTTTTAATAGAAATGTGTCTTTAATTCCAAGTCAAATCCTTCATAGCAGCCTTCAACAAAAATGATAAAGACCAAGTCATTTCGTGATTTAGGACCATAGAAACAATCTAATAATTGGGTTTGTAATAATTTGTAAAATATATATATTTGTAACAGTAGAAATAAAAGCCTGAAAATTTTAGTAATTTTATTACAATTTTTTTATTAACATGTAAATTATACAAGTTAATAATTCAGTTTTTGACAAAAAAAAAATCTATGAACTTTTAGTAATTTTGTTTTTATTTTTTCAAATCATTCTTAGTAATTATATTTGTATTGAGTTTGGATTTTGAAAGTATTGAATAGGCCTTTGAAATTAGAATTGAAACAAATTTAATTTAAATTAAATTTTCTTTAATTCTAAATTTAGAATGTCAAGTTGGTTTAATTAAAAAAAAAAATTAGATAACCCGATCTATCATGGAGACCCCATTTAGCGACAGAGCCATGTTGGGCCCAGTGAGAGCAATTGTCCCCAGAATTTTTCTATTATTTTAAGTTCTTATACATAAATTTCAATAATAAATAAAAGTAATAATAAATAAAAATGATCCATTAAAGCCTTAAAAAATTCACAAAAAAGTAAAAAAAAAATTTCAAAATTCAAAATGACTCCTCATTTTCTAACTCAATAGCTCAAAATAATTTTTATATTTCATAAAGACCTGTCTTTTCTCCTCCAACGAATCTCACAAAATTTTTTGAAATCAAAATTCAGATTATTATTTTGCTTCAAAGTTTATTTATTTATTTATTTTTTATCATATTAGTGTTAAATGTCAATAGTTATCCCAACACCATATTAGTTGCTTAACGAAAGAAATCTGCGGCAGTGGAGTGTGGGCCCTAAAGCAGCTATGGCGCCAAGTTTTTGGATCTATCATCAATGGAGGTCCTTGGATTGGACACTTTTAAGCATCTATTCGAAGATTCTTCATTATCTTTTAAAAACGTATTAGAGAATAAAATAATAATAATTTAATTTAATTAATTAAATAAATGAGTTCGTTAGTTGGTCCATGGCCGACGCTCCAAAACATGCTTCCTTCCTAGGGGATAGGTGCAGCTCATATTTACTGTCTTCTAAGTCAAACCAGCGTCACATTCGTCCCACCCAACTAGATCACCACTTAATTTTATATAATAATATATAAGTGTATTTAATATGTGTATAAATGTACATAAAAAAAATTTATTATTTTTATCTACGTAGCCACCCGTCTTATCTTTTATTCTATAACTGTAAATAAATTTAACTGTTTATATAAAAGAAGTAATTTCAATCCATTTTTTAAATATATATTTTATGATTTTTACCTACTTATATAAAAAATTTGTAACCGGTTCCTCTTGAAACAATGTTAAATTCAAATCGGTTGACTTGGACACATAATACTTAAATATGAATCATTTGACAAACAACAGAGTGCCAAATTAATTGTCTTTTTAAATTTAAATTAAATCCAAAACTTCTTAGCAAAAAAATACTTCAATTTAATACATTAACAAATCTTATTATCTCTATCTTACTCAAAACAAGAGTATTGGATAGATGTAGTAGTTAATGTTGGTGTGCATAAAAAAACAGTAAGCATTTAATAATTGGGCTGCAATACACGCAAATCATCAGCTCCTCCTCTGTATCTATCCATCCATCTATCCAGACGTGTAAGCCAAACACCACCACTTTGCTTTCTTACCTCCCAACTGTAACCGCCACGTGGCAGCATCAGAGAGGTCTACCTGGCACCGCCAAGCCAATAAAAATATGTCCAACCATATCCGACAGGCGGAGTGGTGGTGCACGTGATCGGAACGCCACGTGTCCAACTCCGTCCACAGTCAGTGCCTTTGCTTGAGATAACAAGCCACATGCTTAGCCGCGTGATTGGATGGCCAACAAAAGGTAATTGCTTAGTTGGATGACACCCCGCCCCCCCCCCACTGGCTTTAAAGAAGATATGGGTTGTTGACACGTGGACGAATGAATCGGTGGCGATGGGCGAAATTGAAGCGGTAAACGCGGTGAGGGGGATGGAATTTTCTAGAACCAAAGAAGAGAGAGAATTAGACTTATCTACAAGCAACTGAACTGAGTCCCAAGTTTTGAATGGCTGAAGGAAAATGCCCCTCATATCTTGGTTAATTATCAACTGCCCTCGTTCAAGTCTTGTCAGCCGTCTTGATAGACAGTGCCGCGATGTAACCGATATACAAATCGTATATTGGACTTAAAAAGGGATCGTGTATCGGTTGATACGTCGCATATCGGATAATACGACAAATCATGTCGAGAACTACATGCCCCTCTTGTAAATAGTATATCATGTTCTGTCCAATTTGAAATATAAAATTAAAATATTTACTAAATATTTTAACTTTTTAATAAGATACAACCCAAACTAAATAGAACAAATCCTACCGATCCATTAGAAATGATTCAAATCCTGCATAATACAGCCAACAGCCGGGTACCATCACAAGACTAATAAGAGTGGCAATCACAATAATGTGAACAATGTTAGCATTTCTGCATCAATTTCAGTTTGTTGGCTCTTAATGGTTGTTGTATAATTTATATTTGACATTGAAGTAAGAATGGATTTTTTCAAATAACATGTGACTACGGCTAAAAAAAAATAATGATGATAACATATGACTATGGCCATGTGAGAGAGTGATCAAGTTCACACCTTCCCTCTCACAATGTCAGAGTCCCATGTGGTCAATTCTAATATTGTTCTTGGATTAAAGATGATATATTTTGAAGAGCTGGTGTATTATTGGAGTAAGACTCAAGTTTTACCTTATGTAGTAGTACCATATATGTAAAAGAAATAAAAAAAAAAATTAAAATCTATCTTATTGAATTAAACAAATTTTTTTTTTTGTCACATAAAATAATGTCAAATAAAGCTTGATTCATATAGCTTCTTGAGAATGTTTCAGATACAGACATATTAGGAGTCTCCTCTATCCAGTTCTCCCCACTTATTTTCGCTAGTTTTTAGGCACGAGCGCATTAGTCCCCACTCAAACCGACAATGGCATAACTGTAATACCGTACATCATCAGGCACGCGTCCAAATCGGGTCAGCTGGAACCCTTTCAACGAATGAGACCAATCCTTAGTCTCCTCGGAGGCATCCTAGGAACTAATGTTCCTAAATATATATCAAAATAAATAAATAAATAAAATTGTAAGTATATAACCAGCCAACACATCCATTGACAAATTATTGAGTACATGCTTATAAATGGTCCGGTCAATTATCATTTCACCCTCAAAAATATAATGGAAATTTCATTTAGCTTTTCATTTAAGTTATAATACTCATTTCCTTAAGAATGTCTCATATTAATTTATCTCATTTGAAAAATCAAAATAAAATAAAATTATATTTTTATAACTATCGTTTTAAATTTTAAAAATATCAAAATATATATAATATGCACATTTAAACTTAAAAAGACATCTTAATAATTTTAAGATTAAGATTAGACAATTGGTCCCATAAAAAAAATAATTTTTAATATATAAAGTGAATAACTAATTTATTGATATCTTATTTATTATGAGAGAAATTTTGATTTTAACTCATCATAACTTTGACATGTAAGCTCAACCAATTAAACGTATTTTGCTTGTTAGATTCACGAAATCTAAATCACATAATAATTTCTCTCATTATTGGCTCTACCAAACACGTGGAACATTCTTATTTGATGTTTGACAAGAACGTCCAATAAAAAGTGTTGCAGACTTGCAGTTTACGTGGGTGGTCCTTGGCAGACTTTAATTGAAAAATAAAACCACATTCCTAAAAAGAAAAAACAGAACGTGCTACGACTAAAAGTCCATGCTTATCCAAGGGCATTTTCGTGAAAAAAAAAGTCACACCAACTGTGTTAGGTATATTCGTATATGGATAACCTTCATGCTCTTTACGGAGTATTATTAAAATAACAAAAAAACAAAAGAAATAAATTAAAAATAATTAATTCCTCCCACCGCCCCCGCTTTGAAATTCCTCGTTCTCCATTTCACACGCGTTTCTTCTGTTCCTAACCCATACCCTTCTCCCATATATCTATATATATATCTCTCTCTGTCTCTCTTCATTTCAAAATTCATCATCCATACACACCTTTTATATATATCACTCGCAATATGGTCGATTTAGATTGGAAAACAAAGATGTTATCTTCCGATATGACCAACAAATCACCCAAATTTACAAATAAACTCAATATTTTGGTGCCACCTCCGTTTCGCGCCGGTGAATTGTCGCCGGCGTCTGAGTCAGCATGCTCGGCTTACGAGAACTACATTCGTCTCCCGGAGCTGAAGCTTCTATGGAGCTCTAAAGAGTTCCCTAATTGGAAAAATGGGTCCCTTATCAAACCAGCTTTGCAAGCTTTGGAGATTACGTTCCGGTTCGTTTCGACGGTGTTGTCCGATCCGAGACCGTACGCGAACCGGAGGGAGTGGAAGAGGAGGCTCGAGTCGCTCGCGACGAGTCAGGTTCAGCTCATAGCTCTCCTCTGCGAGAACGAAGACGACGGGGAGGCACGTGGGACGGCGCCGATCGTTGATCTGACCTCGTCGGGAGGCGTGTTGGCGCGCGAAGGAAGCTCCGCCGAGGTGTGGAAGCTCCACGGAGAGACGACGGTGGTGAGCCGAACCAGCGAGGCCAGCTTGCTGCCTCGGCTGGCCACGTGGCAGAAGTCGGAGGACGTTGCACAGAAGATCCTGTACTCTATCGAGTGCGAGATGACGAAGTGTCCGTACACACTCGGTCTCGGCGAACCGAACCTCGCCGGAAAACCATGCCTCGATTACGATCTCGTCTGCAAACCGACCGAGCTTCATATTCTGAAGAAACCCCCAATGAATCTCGAAAATCACGAGAATCAAACTCTTTACACTACGCACCAGATCTTAGAGTCGTGGATCTACGTATCGCAACAGCTTCTGAGACGAATTAGAGAGAGAATCGACAGCAAAGAATTCGAAAAAGCTTCAACTGATTCATGGATCCTCGAGAGGACATGGAAATTTCTTGCCGAAATTGAAGATCTCCATTTGCTTATGGATCCAGATGATTTTCTCCGATTGAAGAACCAGCTCTCGATCAAAGCATCAACCGAGTCGGAAGCATTTTGCTTCCGATCTCGAGCACTCATCGACATAACGAAACAATCCAAGGATCTGAAACACAAAGTTCCGAACATCTTGAATGTGGAGGTAGATCCCAAAGGAGGGCCGAGAATTCAAGAAGCTGCGATGAAGCTGTACCGGGAAAAGAGAGATTACGAGAAGATCGATTTGCTTCAGGCGTTACAGGCGATTGAATCGGCTTTGAAGAAGTTCTTCTACTCGTATAAGCAATTGCTTGTGATTGTGATGGGGAGTTTGGAGGCGAAAGGCAATCGAGCATTTCTGGCCGTCGATTCGAGCGATTCGTTGTCTCAGATCTTTCTGGAGCCGACATATTTTCCGAGTTTGGATGCTGCGAAGACATTTCTGGGAGACTACTGGAGTCACAGACATGGAAGTCGCAGTCCAGAGAAACGAGTCGACAAAGAAGAAGGTAGACTCGGTGTGTGACTCGCTGTTTGGTTGGCAACATGGGACTTGGAAAGTCAAAAACTCATTTTATTTTTTTATACTTTGAATTTTGTATACTCAGTTATTTGTATTTTAGATCTTTGTAAAATTTTCACATCATTCTTATATATAAGTTATTCTTTTTCACACATCATTGAAATCAGTAATTGCATGTTTGGATGTCCTTTAAAGTTGAATGAACCTATTTTAAAGGATTGAATAAGAAACATATGCACCCATCTCAAATTACAGATTTATTCTTTTTCTCGAGTTACGTCCTTGACCACGTGGAAAGAAATTTCAAAAGAAATACATTCCACGCCTATTTTTTTTTTTTTTCAAAATGACTTATTCAACCTATTGACATCCATGTCAAAAGCACGGTTTACAATTGTGATAATAGGTCTCATTATAACGATCTTAATGGAGTTAGACGAATATCGGTGTAAATCAATCAATTCCTGAAGAAGTTTAACGGGTACCAAGATGTTTAACGATATCGGACCATACGTTGCGTATCGGTGTAAATCAACCAATTCCTGAAGAAGTTTAACGGGTACCAAGATGTTTAACGATATCGGACGATAAGTTACGTATCAGATGTTACGATGAACCACGACGGTCAAAAGTACAAAATATGGGGAATTATTCAAAGTCCTATAGATTTCTGAACAGGCTTCCATTGAGAGTGGGAGTTGTAAGGTCTTGATGGCCGCCATGTACCTACCTACCAGGGGATGCAAAGTTGCAGTTGACGACGACGCACAGGGTCCAGAGAAGATTGAGTATTTTGCAAGCATCAGTTTGGAGTCTCTAGACACCTACAACACGCCATCACCATTCGTGATTATGTAAATAAGTTCTCGGCATTGATGCTAGACATGGGGAATATGCCCCCTTTATATGTCATAAAGAATGGTAACTGGTAAGGGAAAGACACTCTTCTGCTTCGTAGAAGGGCTTGAAACCATGGCCGAAGCAGCAGCTGAGAGACGAGGATAGTGGCCCAGAAATGACTAGAAAGAAGCTTCTTGCATTACAACTATTGCAGCTGCAAAGGAGGCTTGCATTCATCAAGGAATCTTCATAACATTAGCTGCCACCAACTGCCATGGTAGATATTGCAACCCATTCTAGCCTCTGATTGGTAAAACACGAAGAAATTTTCTTGAACTAGATTTACAAACTGCTAAAACATTACTCTACTAGCCAATCGTTTGCAAACATTGTGAACATATAACATATACTGATACGCGCACGCGACCACACAAGCAAGTACCCATGCAAGTGAAATATCAGTAAGAAACTAAATCATTCAGCTAAAATGGCCCAAGCAATCTACTTAATAGATTAACCTATTATAAATAAGTTGACAAGACAGAAGATCAAATAGATGATGTTTGCTCTAACCAATAGAGTGCCATAGATAAATATGTAACTCAACAACTTAACAAATCCTTATCAGCTGCTGATTATGCAAAACGAAAGTTAACAGTCCAACTGATGACTCTGCAAAATGAAAATAAATCTCTTCTACTGCTGCTTTTCTGTAAGTTTATGTGCATGAAGTTTAGGAATAGAAGCCTAAGTTCTCATTGCTTGATACAGCTAGCTTCTGGTAGTACTAATCCAGACGACAATTGTATCCGTGAACCGGCTTCTCGATACATGAACAGACAATACGCTAAAGAAATAAGGAGGCCCACAGTTCTCCATAGATTTGAGACTTTATCACAGAAAATTCCCTTAATCAATCCTTTACAAGCCTTTCCATCCAGATGGTATAAAGCGAAATCAGGTACTAGCCATACTCATGGAAAGAATGGTAATAACGAAGCCAAGTAAGGTATTGACTATCAGAAAGCAAGACAATAAGCTCCGCAACCTTGGGCCTGATGGCACTTTAAACACAAGCTACATGAGGAAGGTAATAATTCATAAACTGAAGGCATATGATAACATCTCATTAGATGTCAAAGCAAGGTAGGTAAGCCAACACCCTCTAAACATTTAGCATGCGCTACATCCGGATCCTTTATCAAGGCTGTCTCTTCTACATGAATGGCATTCCTTTCCATTTCTAAGTTGCCATACTGCTCCTGGAACACACTAAAGCCCATACTTTCAGAACCTTTACCAAAATCACCTAAAATGGAAAAAGACATGTTCAGTGGCATGGAAGATGCATCAACTTTGACTTTGGTAGGTCCTGACATTTCAAGGGATGACAATCTGTGGCTTTGACACAGGACAAGTAGTAACTAGAAAGAAAGCAGGGGACGAGAATGAGAAGATGAGGTGAGGCTAGACGAAGGAGGTGAGAAGACAGACGAATGGGGATGAGAATCAGATTGAAGGAGGTAGGATAGAGAGGCAGAGGGATTAAGAACAGCAAGAACAAGGAGGGAGAAGGACACAAAGGGAGTTCGCAAACTCAACAATAATATTCAATTTCTCAAAATTGAGTTCTCAAATTACAAAGGAGCCTTTAAATAGGCAAATTATTAAGCAAACCCTAAAACATAAAAATACCAAAATAACCCTAAAATTCAAACATGATCAAATATAACAATAAGCATAAATAAAAACCCTAAATTACTAAAATTCCCAATTTTATTTCTCTTTCCCTCTTCTCCAAAAGTAATGTTGGAACACGTGCAGCTCATGTGTGCGAATCACACCCCGTTCCCCATCAGGCTTATGGGAAGGTCTCCATTATTGTAGGAGGGGAAGTCCAAGGGAGAGAAGCTAATAATGGATGATTGTTGTATATCATTAGTTTTACAATTACAAAATTTGAAGAGTGAACTTGTTTTTGTTGTAAATGACATGTTTTCTGAACTGAACTGAGTGTTGTGTGCACGTTGGGTTAGTACATCAGATGTTGTTGTGAAAGAAGTTCATTTCTCTTTAACCGCCATCTTGATAACAAGCTAGTGCATTTAGGGAAGGCATTTTTTCATGAGTATTTTAGTGACAACAACATTAAGTACTTTAACAGTCATTGTTGGACTTTCAAAGAAAATCTTTTGTTCAAACTTCAAAGGTTAGATAGAATTTATACTTTGCTACCACTGGGTCATTAGTGCATGGAGGTCATTTTAGGGTGTGTGTAGGAGTATTTACCTAACAAAAAAATAAAGGAGTGGTAAGGGCCAAGTCCTTTAAGAGGCTCTTTCAGTGAGTACCAACCAGTTATGTCAGACCACAACAACTGATCATTTAAACTATCTATAAATTGCAGTAGTTTAGTTCAAATTTAATTGCATAATAGAGTTCATCGTGCATACAGCAGAGCCAAGACAAAGCTTTTTCTTTTTCTTTATATTTTTTTGTTCATAAGTAGAGCAAAACCAAGAGATCTTCTACTTGATTCAATGCTTAAAAGTAGCTGCATCTGAGAGAAAAAAATGTCCGATTGTCCAGAATCCATGAAGTTCTTCAACATGCCCCCCATTCGTTTTTCTAAATTGCAACCAGTCCTTGCAAACTTCCCTCTCTTCTTATAAGGACTAAGGATCCACAATCAGATTTGTGACTAGTTCTATTATGTATACTTATAGTTAGCCTCCAAATTTATGCAATCAATTTGTTCCCTGGTTGTGTTTTACTGGTAGTTGCCCTTAAATCTATGCATTTTACATTATTAGCTACATCTCATGTTAAATTTCTATATTTATATCATACATCCAAAATTTATTCATTAACTATCGGCGGAAGGTTACAAAAAACTAGAAAAATGTGTTCACATGCTGAAAATCGGATGGGGTTCATTAAAACGTTAAAACCATAAACAAGAACACCATCTTTCCAAGGAAAGAAGCAAAGACTATAAAATTATATAAAAAATGATATATGACCTCATGATGTATCAGTATCCTTGTATGCTCTGCAAACCTCTTCAATCTCCATCTCAGAATTGTCTGATAGTGAATCATCCTCTAATCCACTCATGGTCTCCTCCTGCTCAGATTCCACACAAACATTATCATAATCAGAATCGCTCTCAAATAAATCCTTGTCCTCTATGTCTGGTAAGTCATCAAAAGTTTCAATTTTCTTCTTCCTTCCTCTATAACCAATAAGACTTTGAACTTTTTCTTTCCAAAGGACCAATTCACTTTTCTCAATCAACTCTGAACCTTCATAGGCTTCGGTCAAGAACACACTAAATCTCTTTCCCCTTTCAGAAACATAGAAAATGCCAAAATGCTTCAACAGAAGCCTCATGAGCTTCTGCGGCATCATAAACTCCCTTCGGAAATGTGTTAGGTGATCAGTTACCAACCTCTTCTCAATAGTAAAGTTAAGCAGCTCATGCATTACTGCAATGGCCCTCTTATCAAATTCTTTTGAACCGGCTTTGAGCCCCCGTGCATCTGCATATGGAGACAAATATGACATTTTCTGAAAATGATCAATCTTTCCACCATATCTATAAACCTTCTTGTAATCTGGAGGAAATTTCATCGGGAAAGGGAGCGAAAGCAACCCAGGTGTATGATCAACAGAATCAGTTCCAACCATAGCCTTCTTTTCCAATTCTGTGATAGCCCAAACAGGATTCCTAGAAACAAGTTCCAAATATTTAATATCATCCTCTGATTTAACCAACCTAAAGTGTTGGGGATACTTATGCACCCAATTAGTCCTAAAATCAATTGGCAACCCAAAGTCTCTTCTAAAATGTGCAATCTTGTCCAATGCAAGACGCCCATCAACAGACATCATTAGCATCCTGGTAACGTGCTCGGCTGCTTTCTCTTCGTACTCCTCAATGATCCTCTCTTCCTCCTGCACCAACTCTTCAGCGGCCTCCGTCAGTCCACACCACAACACCCCCTTACGGTCCTTGTACAATTCAAACAGTTTTGGCGATTTTCGGAGGAAATCTGATATCTTGTGTGGCTTTGGCAAACTGATTTGCCGCCTATACTGATCCAGTGACCTTATGGGCATGATTTGCTCTTTTTCTTGCTTAAGAACCTCCATAAAAAACAACACTTTTGAGGCTATCTTCCACTTCTCTGTGGCAATTTCGAGATCGTGGACCCTCTTCTTCTTGCTCCGGTCTTGGACTCGTTTACTGGTTGTCATTTCTCGACATTGAAACGCCAAATACGACAACACGTTGGCGCAAGCTCTACGTGATTCACCATAAAAGATTACGCTTCTGAAGACTCGGTTGAGCATCACTACGCACAACAGAACTGAGAGATAGATTTATGAAAGACTGATAATTCAAAAAAAAACTCAAAAGCTTACTCACCTGTCACTGTATGTCTGTATCTTTCTCGGTTCTAACCAACACCTATCAGCTGCTTGTGAAAAGGCTTAAGCGAAAGGTGTTAGTGTCACACTCTCTCTTGTTTCCGCCACTGAAGGGCAACAGTGGAGCCATCAAAACCCTAATTTTCCAAATCTTCAGAGCAAACCCATTTCGATTATCTCTCTAACGGCTCGCACGAAGCAAACAGCTCGCAAATCTACGCTTCAAGAGCCCTGATAAGGGTTTTTCCTACACAGCAAGTGTGAAGAGGTCTAAAGCAGAAACTCGGGAGGTGTTCGCCTTATCAGCTTCAATGGAGGACGAGCTGGGTGATCAACTTCTTTCTCAAGCTTCCTGAGATGAAAATACTGAGCAAATTCTGGAGGATTCAGACTCCAGAGAGGGAATGAAATTATGCGACATCGGTTTTGTAGGAGAATTTATTCTCTGATAAACCCATCAATTTTATTTTTAGGGACTACGCGAGCAAGATTGGGAATGCAAGTCGTTAATAATTTCGTCAAAGGGAAATTTCGAAGAAGAAGCCCATGGCTAAATATTTTCGATTACTAACTTCTTACTATATTAATTTAGGGCGCAAATCACCTGTGTAATTCCCATGTTTCCTACAGTGAGTAATAAGTCGCCTTAGTTTGGTCACGTTTTATTCCACTTAATAAATACTAACATTGTGTTAGACAATTACATTATTATTTATAAATAATATTTTATGTCTAACCAAACTATTCACTATTAATTTCCGTCAAAAACCCCAAAAAAAAAAAAGTTTGGCCTTTTTGATTAGTAAAACAAAATATTTATTGAGGTAATTAAGCAAGTCAAGTCTAACACTTTTTTTTGCCCTTTTGATTTAGCTAATTGCATTGAGCTCACCTATACCATGGAGTTTCGATTAGCCTACGCATTCTATTTCAAGACTCATCTAACTTTCTGTTAGTAATTTTGGGCAAAGAAAAAAGATATGATAATAATAATAAAAAGGAAAAAACCAAAAAAATCCTAAATAGGGTTTCAAGAGGTGGGGAGGAGGAAGTAAAAAATAAAAAATCAAAATAGGTGGGATTTCAACTAAAGCTACTCCCCCACCCTTCTTTATTTTACATTAAATGTTGGTTCAGAATTCAAATTATCGGAAGTATCGAATGGGCAGCTTGAATTTGGGATTGGAAGTGATCCCAAATATTGCATAAAAGTAATCACCTTAAGCTATGTTTGGTACGGTGAATTTGAAGGGAAAGGATAACATTAGTTATGACGGAAAGAAAAGAGAATGATAATTTTAATTTCCTATCGTGTTTGGTTGATTATTGAATGAAAAAGAAAAGAAAGGATAATAATCATATTCGGAAAAAGAAATGAAAGAATATGAAGAAGAATTATTTTAATAAATTTACTATTATGCCCTTTTATATTTTAAAATATAAATTTATATATATATATATATATATATATATATATATATATATTTGTCTCCTATATAAAAGGCCATGGATCGGCCACCACCAGAAAATGAAAAAAAAAAAAAATAGGGCAAATCATTTCAACCTCCATCTTTATTCTCGTTCTCAACTCTGAACTTACCCCCTCTCTCTCTCTCTGTAACTGCAAACGACTACAAGAATTAGAAATTCAAAACTCATATATTTCAGTTTATTTATTTGTCTGCAAGAATCAAAAGTTCAAAACCCATATTGGCATCATTTCAAATTGTTCAAAATATCAAAACTCAATTTCATATTGTTCAAAATATCAAAACTCAATTTCATATTGTTCAAAAAATAAAAACCCATATCAATTTTTCAGTTTCCATCGCCCGCTGTTCCAATTCAGGTTCGCCGTCCGCAAGCTTCAGCCACTGACCCTCTTTCTCTCAACTCTCAAGCTTGCCCCCCTATCTCTCTGCAACTGCTAAATCAACTAATCTGTAATTCTTGTTTTGCAAACTAAATTCACATATAATCAAGGGCAAATTTGGCATCAAAAATCACACACCAAACCTCTTCTTCCCTTTCCTTTCATTTCCTCCCATTTTTGGGATGTTAAGAAATTTACCGTTGAAGCTTGTGTTAACCCTCCAAACCCTTCCCTTCCCTTCCCTTCCCTTTCCTTTCATTCCAACAATTTTTGTCAAACACAAATTTTTAATCCCCCTCCATAACCTTCCCTTCCCTTTCCTCCCTTTTCCATTGCACCAAACTGACCCTTAGGCTTCTGCTTCTGCTCCTTGTATGTGAAAAATGGGAACCATATACATTCGATATTGCACTGCTGAAACACACAAGTCCAGACACCTTTAGTATTCAAGATCCGAATGAGAAATGAAGGCTTAATTATACCATTACAACAACATCTACAAGGAAATATATTCATTCTCCAACTTTTAATTTGGAGGGTTAAACTATAAAGGAAGTATAAGGAACCCTCAAAAAGAAAATGACAAGAATACATCAATACAATCGCTTCCTGGATCCTCCATCAAGTTGCGTGTTAATATATATGGCTCAAAACTAATTGACTACACTAACTCAGCTTCTATCCCCAGTGACATATAATTGGTAGTAACATGAAAGGAGTATTACAAAAGTAGGGAATTAATGGAACAAAATGAGGAGGAAATCAGGAGCCTATAGGTACAAGAAACACTAGCATCACCAAAACCAGATGTTGCGGCTGTCAACAGCCTTCACGGAAGTCGAAACCAAGGGCATTCGCCCATACTCTGCCACAAATCTATTAACGCATTCAGACCTTTTTTCGGTGTGACCTCCCAAGCTACTGATTCCGGTTGAACCAATCTCGTTTATCTTGCCTGCATTGGCACACCAACAAAATATCTTATATAATTAAATGATATTGATGGCGTACATATACAAGCTATCCAGATTTTAAGATAGTGTAGGGATGAAAACATATAGATACTGAAATCTTTCTCAGAATGTGGGAATCATTATTTGACAGAAACGGAATAAGAGAAACAAAAATCAGAATGCGGAACATAATTGATAAGGCAAAGGCTTCGTGGTTTGTTCCAACACTTTGCCACAACTCAACTCTCTCCCAGAGGAGCAACCTAAAATCAAAAACTAAAAAGCAACAGCATCTTGCCTCACTTGGGCATCCAGATTTGCATTTAACACTATCCACGGACTGGATATCCTAATTCTCTATCGATCTCCACCAGCCAATTCAAAGCTGTGGCAAATTTCCACAAGTGATAAGCCCAATTCATGGCAATTAGTTTTGTGTAGCATTACAGTACCATCCCATACAAAGTAGGATATTTCTTTAAGCAGTGTCATTAGTTCCGAAGTAAGTTTGAAAATATGGGACCAGGTCATGAGTTTGATTCAATTTATAACTGTCAGACACTAAAATTTTGAGACAATAAAATCACCCATATGATTGGTCAAATGGTCAAAGTATCTCAGATCAAGCCACAAATCAAATGTTTAAAGTTCAACCAATGAGTCATGTCTCATGGGAAACGCGTGTCAAAATCTCAAGGCTAAGCCATTTATGAAAAAGTCCAGCAATTCAAATTTAAAATCAAAATTATTTCCAGACAAATAGAGACAAATTTCACTTGTTTTCGAAAATCAAATCATTTAGATATTCGTTTTTGGGGTTTCCATACTAAACAGCCCCTCACCTGGCCTATAAAACAATGCCATGCAACAAATATAGAGACCAAGAGATTGCTTAACTTTGTCTCTCTACAGAGTTTCCTGTTCGTGTCACCACTCTGAATTTGTATTCCAAGAAGAAAAACACCAAGCACATCAAGTTTCAAGTCCCTGTCATTTTTCTTCAAGTGTGCTCTCATCTCCTCCCTCTATTTTGTCTAGAACCCACCCTAAAATCCAAATTCATTTGGCACCATGGAGTATTACATACATATTTAAACATATATAAACCTTATAAACCTTTGGGATTTGGATATAAACAGTATGATGGAATGAAGTAGGTGTTTGCAGGGGGACTTTCTCCTGGTGAAAAATATCGATGCAGAGCATAGAGTTGGAAGCAGTTAGAGGACATTTTGTAATGAAAATATAAATTAATTTTAAAAATACATATTGGGAAGAAGATAAAGAAGATGATATGAAACAACTCTCAGTCTAGCAGAAGCCATTTTGGAATAGCCATTTCAATATTCTGCTAGAGATTAGATTAAATTTTCATGCTTAATCCTTTTTTAAAATGCAATGATACTTCTTTGCTCTTTCAAACTTCCTATTTCTCCTACTTGTACTTCATATTAATACATAATTGGAATTTATAAATATTTCAAAAGTACTTCTGATGTAATACTTCATGAATGACTTTAGAGGTTACAAGTCTTCATACATAGAATTCCTTTTCAAAACTTGCAAATATGTTGCTCTAAATTTTGCACTGCGTGCTTTGAATAATTGTCTAATTACCTTTAGTAGCACATCCACCACTCATAATAACAAGGAGAACAACCAGAAAATAAAGTATTATTGCAGTACCATACTTTATCAAAACATATGCTAGTGTTCTTTCTTTTCTTTCTCTTGGTTAAAGACTCAAAACAGTATTATATCTGATATTACCCAGGAAAGAAACATTTCGTCTGCATCTAGATCATAGCTTTTTGGTCACTGATTATGCTGAAGAGATCTAAATTCAATCCTATGATACACTATGATATAAAGCATTTTTATTGTAGCTAATAACACCTGAAAGGACATGAATTCCCAATAACATTGGACTAGCGTCAGAGGGTAGCACCGAGGTTTGTTTACAGATAAAATTTAATGTTAATACGTCTCAAGAGGTTCAATGTTGTTGTTTCCTAACAATGCAAGCTGCTTAAGGGGGATAAGTAAAACCTTTGGAAGATGAACCATCAAAAAGATGTGGAATAAGCAGGACTAAGAAAATGTAACTGTATTATTTCAGTAAAGCTAAGATCTGTCCTTTATTGTATGCACGTTCAATAATCAAGAAAGTAAGAAACACCATGTCCCTTTGACCAATGCCAAAAGTGATGAAACTGTAAGCTCCCAAGCAGTGGGAGAAGCCCGGGGCTCTGACCGCATGCCTGTTGAAGAATGAGCCAGCGACTCATAGGCAGTGGCTTGGTTAAGGGAACCCACCAGAGCCGTAGCGAAAGCAAGTCTTCATAGGGCAATTGTCACTACTTATGGACCCAAACCTGGGTGATCTATCCATGACCGGGATGAAGCTTGGGTGAAACTAGGACATTATGATGGACTAATTTGAAAGATAAGAAGATATAAAATTATAAAACACTGGTTAAATGCACTGAGGAGAAGCTAAAGACAATACTGTGTGAAGATAAAATGAGTGAAAGTTGTCTGGTATGATTTAATTCAGCTAATTAATTTTTATTCCAATTTCATTTTAACAATTCATTCCAGTGTATTGCATGTGATAAAACACCAGTAGACATCTCAATGAGAATTTGGGACTAAAATAATATAAAATAAATCATAAATTGATTGGTTTGGGTAATATCATTTACCTTTCACCCAAATTGGGGGAGCACCAGTTGCATTTGCAACAAGGAAAGACATAGCAATATCTTCACAGTTCCTGGTAGTTCATCCCAAGATTTAGGGAAAATGTTAGCAAAATATGCCATTATGTTAGCAAAATATGCCATTATACAAAATGATAGAGAGATAAAATAATAAAAGAAAATTTTCAAAATGGATAAATAGTAGAAAAATAATTATTCACACACAAAAAGAACCTGTTCTTTGTTACATAATCTCTGATGGATGCTGGCATCTCATTTGTATACAAACTCAGATACTTTTTATGGAAAAATGCTGCCTTAGAGAGCACCATACTGTATGTACCCATCCACCAAACAGACCACCATCCTCCATAAATATAGTGATCCTTATCAGCTTTCTGCATGGAAACTTCCTGGTTAAGAAGACAAGTCTGACAAATTAAATTTTCTCCATGCAGATCCAACTCAAATGAAAAAGCTACAGAAAATGCATGCTACCAACAGTATATCGCAAACAACCACTTTGCACTTCACTTTGATTCTCGTGGAAGGCCAAGGCTTACAACCCCCAGTGATCTTGGGAGTTGTTTGACTAAAAAACACATTAAGTGAAGCATGTGGAAAGAAAAAGAATGGTAGGCACACTGGTGTAGTTACCCACTCACAAGAAGGACCATATATCACAATTAAGCCTAAGACCATTCTATCTCAGTTAAAACAATTAAATTGATGTGCCATCCTACAAGATTAAATTAAGCTCTAGCTAGGATTCTACATGATTTAGGTAAACCACCCCTGATGCTGAAGCACACAAAATATATATTGATGCAGACTTCAGAAGGTATGATCTCTACAGATTGGTGATTTATCAGTACAAAGAATAATAGTAACCACAGGAACAATTAGAAATAACATAACTAACACATACCGATTCATCAACCCAATGGATACGGGGCACATATCCCACCATTGTATCTGGTGCACTTCGCCAAACATTGAAAGCAAATTCTACTGAAGAGCAAGGAAATATAACATCATCATCAATTGAAAAGATGGCATCCGTCTTCAAATCCTTAATCTCTTTGAATCTATTGTTCAGACTATCTTCCTTGTTTATATCAATTTTCAATTCAACTTGCCGACCATGCTTAGAACTTGACTGTGTAATGTGGTTTAGTAGATATTTGACAAGAGAACTTGATGGAGGATCGGGTTCACTCCAGACGATATGTATGGAATCAAGCCCAGGACATGAGATATAGTGAGAAATAGACTGTTTCAAAAGATCATTTCTCTTCCATGTGTTAATCAGTATAGTATATCCCTTCCTGTAAAAAATATAAAGCCAGCATGTAGGAGTGAGAAGAATGATTTTAAATGTTCGATCAACACTTGCCTCAGCTACAGATAGATCTGATTAATTAGTTCTAAAATTTGAAAGTTTGCTCTCTAACACATAAACATGCAGTTATAAGTTCAAATTTTGAGAAGGCACACTAAAAAAATGACATGACTAACAAAAATTGTGGCCACGCAGATAAATTATTAATACATGAAAAGGGAATGACTTTTGCTTTAGTCTTCGACACAAGTTGCACTAAAACAAAAGGAAACGTTGAGATTCAGGAATTACCACGCATATCTCAAATTTAATAATATAGAACAGTACAAATGAACTTTCAGACATGAAATGCATTCAACAGTAAGGGAAGTGCACAATGTTCTAGAGTAAATCAAAGCTTCAGTTAGCAACAGAAACAAAAACAACAAATGTAAAATTTAAGAATCTGTAGTAAAAAAAAAGAACAATTTGTACGATGAAATGATATTAAGGAAGATTATTTCTTTACATTAAAATAAAAAAACTAAGTGCCTACCAATACAAAAAGTGCTGACTGCCACCAGCTGGGACCACAAACATGCAATTCTTGTTTCATGGCGTAAAGCAAGGTCATGGAGATTATCATATTCCCTGCCAAATAAGGAATTTCGCCAATAAAACTGGCATCGTCACTCCTTATACTGTTTCAGATAGTTCAGGAACAGCTGGGACATAGTGCCCCACACCCCCTGTTTCCTCCAAAGAAACCATCATCGAGAAATCATAGTTTTTGCTTAGTTTTAACTAGATCTATGAGGTAGCTTTCTAGTGACAAACAAAGATTAAAACATTTGGGACTGTTACAGCAAACAATAAATATATTTCTCCACCATCTATTAGTATAGTTAACTACGTATTCGGCATGAATAACCTACTCTGTACAGTGAACACTGGATGTCATACCTCCAAAATTGTTTTACTGGCACTACGACAAATTTAATGATACTGGTAACTACCATCAGCAATGATGAAGAAAACAATTTGGAAGCAATAGTACTGCTAGAGGCTTGTCAGCAGTGGTTTTAGCACGGATTGCTAATGCAGAAATGGAGAGCAATAACAAGTGATGGGACTTGGAAGAACGGAGGTGATAATGGAGTTGTACAGAGGTAAGGCAACAGAGACGACATAAGTGATTATGGTGGAGGTGTTCGGGACAAGTACATAAAACTAGAGGCTCTGTGGAGGCAGTAGTAGTGATGGCAGTGATAACAACAATGGAAAACAAGTCTGGGCTTGTGCCGGTGATGGAGTTGGAGTTGGTAATGAATATATGTAACAATAACTCTGTAACAACTAATGACTTTAAGGTAGCAACAGGGTGAGAAGGTCAGTAGTAGAGGAAGGCACGGTTGGCAGGGGTGGTAGCGGTGGAAGGGGCATGCCCATAATGACAAAAATATTAATGGTGTTGAAAGTGAGGAAGGCAGTAACCACTTTCACAACTAAAATTATAAATCCACAACTTGGACTTAAAACAAAATTTGACATGTATAATCCTACCTAGTATCACCGGCCATTGTCGATTCTATAATCTTTTTCCTCTGACTTGGGAGCATTTTTTTTTCCCTGAATTGGGAACAAATCGAAGCATCTAAACTTTAGTTGAATATGAAAATTAATTGACTGCTCTTGCCGTTTTAACTGTCAAAAGTCTTTTTTTACTTACTACTTAAAGAGGTTTGATTCAACTTGACCCATGTGTGATAAATCTACCTTGCTTCTTTTATTCAGGATTTTGCAGGGCAGTTTGCCCAAAAACGTTATGCAACAACATTTTCCCTATATTTTGGGGGCATGCTACACAAATCCCATCATGAATCAACACTTGAAATGGAAACCATCTTAATATCTCCGTAGACCAAATTCCACTTCCACTTCATTAAGCATCAATTACGACAATAACTACGAATATATTTGAAATCTCAATTGATACCCAAAATGATTTTTAACCAAAAATAAAAGTTTCTGTTTCATAACGTCAATTACTCAAAATTTAAAATTCAATTAACTTCAAATTTTTGCCAAATAGATTCAAACGAATTGCGTATCAGAGAAGGGGAAAAGTAAAAGGAAACAACCTGATCTGTGCGTGTATAGAGAGAGAATTACGCCATTGAAAGTGCACTAAACACATATATCCCTTAAATCTAGCGTTTAAGAACCAATAAGTCAATTAAAGCAAGTTCACTACAATAAACCTAGAGAGATTAACTAAACTAATCAGTAATCACGTATCAGATATGATGAATTTTAGTTGAAGAAACCTGGGAACAGAGAGCCGATCAAACGACGTAGTCTGATGTTTCCATCCCATAAACGACGCCGGAATGCTCGCGACCACGAACACAGTGAAGACTATGCAGCAGAAGAGCAGCAGCTTTATCTTCACTGATCCAACGGCCGAGATCGCAAGCTGCCGGAACCTCTGGGCCATCCGACGGCCGAGCAAGCTCCACCTCGTCGGCTCGGCCTTCTGTGTCGCCCACCGATCCGAATTCCCCATAGCGCGACTCAAGTTCGAGTCAACTCAGTCGCCGCCGTCGTTCTGCTTCTCTCCCCCAGTCGTCGCCAGTCGTTTTGGGCGGTGTTTTAGAGTAGCAAAGATTCTCTACCGTGTGATGGAAGATTTGGGAGTGTGATAGACGGCTGTGATGCTTAGTTGGAGTTATGCTGGAGTGCTGACGTCATCAATCTCTGTCCTCGTCGCCTCGTTGCCGTCGATGCAAAAACGTCCGAATATAGAGAGAGAGATGGAGAGAGAGAGAGAGAGGGTGGTGCATGGGAAAATCGAGTGTCTGAAGCATGATAGGTGGTGAGCATCTTTGAGTTTGTTTGGACCGTTGGATGGTTCCAGATGACCATCATCGTCGATGTTGATGTAATATCTTTTGAATTTCTGGTTTTGGATATTGGATGTGGACCAGTGCTTCATCATTGGTGGGACCCAATCCGAATGACTTTTGTGACTCAAAACTAGGGACGGTTGAATTTTTAAATTAGTTCTGGTTCCACGCTACGTTACCTTGACATGACATGAGTAGTCGAAAATTCATACAGTTTTCAACAAAAATATGTTGAGATTATCGAAAAAAAAACCTAGAAAAAGAGAATCGGTTTACATAAATTCAAATTTGATACTATTTAATAAAAAAATTAGCGAGAGAGTTAAAAATGGAGTAATGTTTCTGAGATGAAAAAGTCACTAGTCCTCTCTATTTGAGTATTGGATGAATAATTTTTTGAGACACGTAAAAAGTTAAATTAATTATTAAATATATTCGAATTAAAATATAAAAGAATTTGTGACTCTTCTTATAAAGGAGACCTCTTAACATGGATAACAATTCGTGTTTGCAAAACACAATTCTCATTACTTAGTAGGGATTACAATTTGTGTTTGTTGGTGTCAGTTTAAGATATTATACTAAACAGCATTAAATAGGTAAATTTAAACATTACTCGTTTAATAATCGTGTCAGGACATCACTAGTCCGATTTATTTATTAAACGAGTTACTCGTGTTAACATGTTTAATGATATATTTACTAAAACGAGACATTTAATATTCGATCAAAAAATAAATACTAATATATATATATATATATATATATATATATATATATATATATATATATATATAAAACAATTAACCCAAATATTAATATTTAAGTAAAATTCATAAGGTGTATCCAATGTTTATGTTGAAATGAGTAATAATTTACACATATCGTATTCACGGTTATGACACGTTAAATTAAACAAGTATAAACGAGTTACACGGGTTGAACCCTTTAACTCTAACACGACACGATTACGTAACTATAAACGAGTTAATTGTGTCAACTCGTTTATAACCCGATCCCGTTTAAGAACTGTAACGACCCGAACCCGAGGTCATCTAAGATAATACCATCATATCAAAGGTCAATACATCATTACTAATCAAAATATATAAATTTCTTTTACACAATTTTTAATGAATTTAAATACATAAACGAGGCCACTATGGCCGTATATACAGCCTTATAACATTATAGAGATTTTTAGTATCGTCTAAATCTGTGAATACAAGTCATACGCCCTTTTTTCCTTCGATTCTCTAAAAATATTAAGATAAGGGGTGACCTCAACAACTCAAAAGGTAATGCCTAAAACATCAGTTTTGGACTCCCTTAAACCAACAACCAAGTAACGGGGAAAAAATGTCGTGATCATATACAGGGAATTATCAAGATCACAGTCCATATCATTCAATTTAAAAGATTATTATCACATAAATAGTCATAATCATAAGTGCCAAAATGCCATGAAATGCAATGCTTTGCGTAACTGCTCCCAAGACTTGATTTAAAACCAAACCCAAATCTCTATTTACGCTAACTGACTATACCGAGCCGGGATGAACACTATCCCTGGTCTATTGGCCATTTCGGGCCTAGTATCAACTTTTTCACGCCCTACATCAGGTTGCGCCCACTCTAGGTTAAGTATGCCGCTAACTGACTTTACCGAGTTGGGATTGACACTACTATTGTCAACTTTTTCACGCCCTACACCGAGTCGCGCCCACTCTAGGTCAAGTTAGCCCCGGGCTCGCAATACCCGGTTCGTTTCATAATCATTTCCTCACAATCTTTTCCAAACGCATTTCTTTAAAAATAATCATTTCAACCTCACTTTTCCCAAACCATGTCCGTACCATGAATGGAATCATGCATGAATGAATTAACATACACATGCATGCTTTTTATCAATTTAGCCATACACACTCATCATCGTCATCATGTATATACATATAACCTCAAGAAAACATTTCAACGTAAGGTACACTCTTTAAACACACTCGCAACCAACATCATCTAGAGCATGCATTACCACATAAACACATAATTAACATTTAAAATTCCAAATTTATCATTTTAATCATGCTTAAAAAAAATAAATAAATAAAATAAAATAAAAAAATCCGAATTCAACTAAAGTCAAAACTTAATGATTTAGACTTCCCTACCTCAAAAGTAGCCAAAATGTATCCACGGTCAGAAAAAGTAACGCCAGTCAATACCGGTCAAAGGAAGTTGACGCCAGCGCAACGGAAAATTGTTCAGTGGGAACGTAGCCGACGATGAGAAGATTCTACTATTCCAAAGGCGTATTTCCGGAATCTGACTCCAAGTGGCCCAAAACCCCCTCCGAAGCCAAAGATCCAAAATTTTCAAAAATTCGTAAAATAATCACCGCTCCTTCGAAAATTTAATCCTTTGATTATGTGATAGAGAACGACGAGAGGAACAATTTCAGTCAAGGAACCAAGACCAGAAACCCGACTTATTGTCTGAAAAATGGAGGAGAATTTTTGTGGCAAAAGAAAAAGAAAAAAAATGAGGCTGAGAGGGAGAGAGAGCCAGCGTGAGAGAGAGTAAAATTTAATGGCTGAATAATGCATATGTACAAGTGGGTCCCACAAGAGAATAAATATCTTCCTTTCATTATGATATAAATATATACACATATATATAAAACATATCACAACCATAACTTTAAATATAAATAACTAAGTAATTATTCAACAAATAATGATGCACTAAATGCCACAAACTCGAAACACAATTCCCATACTCAACAATTCCGGTAACAGGTCGTATTTGGGACCTCCCGACCTGAAAAACTGAAAAATGTCAAAATGGTAAACAATGCATTTCCACGAGTCCTAAACTCAAGGAAATATTCCAATCAACTCTAGGAACTCACCTGGCACACCTTACAATGTTTGACACGCAAAACGAGATAATGATTAAAATAATCCAGAAAATGAAAAATTTAAAAAAAATCAGAAATATCACAAGATCAACCTAAATCTGCCTATATCATGTCATGTTCAAGTCGTGTTGGTAGGTCGTGTCGAAATTTGCCACCCCTACCTCTCAGGAGTAGGGCTGCAACTCAGGTGGGTTAGTGGGTTTGAGGTACAAATTGAGTACAACCTTACATATGAAATGTTTAACCCAACACTAACCTTACTGTGATACCCCCGGATTTCCGGATGCGGGTTGGCTAGGCCCACGCCCGACTACCCGAGGATATCAAACAAATTAGCAATAAACGAACACAGAATACAATTAAGGAAACAGGAATAAATAAAAATTTGCTGAAAAGAAACTAGAATGATAAACCAAATACTGAAACCTCAGAATAAAATTAAATTAATAAATAATTATTCTGATACATCCAAATTCTCCATTTCTAATACAACTCGGGAATCCATCTGGTGGACCCCTAATAAAATCATCACTGAGAAATGAACCACTGAAAAAGAATCCAATGCTAAACCATACAGGAACCGCCTACGTCGTCGGAAGAATGAGAAGTCGTTTCTGCTCAGCACGAACAAGATCTAAGACCTAGAACCGTCCGTTACCTGAAAAATAATAGTGGGTCAGGCCCACGAACAAGTTCTATCCTAACTACAATCCAAACAGAGACCCGATACGCAGATACATCCTAGATGTCTCAACCATATCTATATAGTCCGTAAATAGATATATACATATAACCACACTACAGGACTCTCACTAGACTATGCTGAGGGTCTCAACCAGAATAGAAGGCAACATGCAAAAACGCACCTGAGTGGGCATGACTACCTAAGCCTAACAGGGTATACCTCAACCAACATAGCTAGCTATGCATCCCACTGCATATACGCTCCCTAACCGTCGACTATGAGACTCAAGTTCAGATCGCGGTACCATAATTATATATATAAAGTCCGATCCTATCCAACCATAAGAAATCCAGCTAGTCGTTCAGCTTGTTCAGCCGCACAGACTAACATAAATTAAGTGTATATACAATCCATCCAAATACAATGTTGAGCCGGTCAACTATTCGTCGCCAAAACACAACATATAATTATGATTTAAATATTTTAATTAAATCCCTATCCTTCCTATTAACAGAAAATATAAACAACCATCCAATATGTCGTTCAACTATTTTAGTTGACAGGACATGAAACCATGTAGGATTTAACTGTTTTAGTTAATCCATTCTGTATGTATGAATGGGTTGGAATTAGCGTTTTGATCTAATTCGTCCCTCCGTATGTCACCGTCCCATACCGGTACATACCATGCATATGATCCGTAAATAATGCATTAACTCAATCAGTGCACCAAATAGAATCCACATAAATCCATGTAGCTGATAAAACAAAATTGGAACAGTTTATCAACTAAATATCCATGACAATAGCCATGAAATTGACGAGACAAAACTTAATCGTTCGTCAACTTAAAATCCAAAATCCATTCATATAATTGACAGAAAATATACAATTAATTCTTCAATTAAGTCCAGGTTAACTCCCATGTAAATTACAAAACCTATGTTTTAATTTAGCAATTTAAGTCCAAAACTATCATCCAGTTGAAAACCATCATCCAATTAATTGCAGAATAGTGTATCTAATAATTCAACAATTTAAAGCAAACCTTTTACTCATGTAGTTGCAGGAAAAATTAATGTTTCAGCAATATAAAAATTCAAAGTATGCACAGGTCTAATCTGTTAACTAAAAGACTCTACTGTGCATCTAAAACAAAAATTAGAAACATGTTATAATTCATTAAATTGCCATATTAGAGCAAGCAAGTAATTTCCTATCCTTAATCTACGTAATTGCAGAACGGATTTATTAATTCAGCAATTATATTCTCGAGTGTGCACAGATCAAATTTATTAAGTAAATGACCCTAACGTGCATTTAAAACAAGATTAACATCATGTTATAATTACTTAAGTCGCCCATTTAAAAATTGAACAACTACTTCCCTTCCAACCGTTAACAATATGTAAATTGTCTAAATTTCACACTGATCATTCCCTTCCTATAATAGGCTAACTTATGCAATTAGAGAGCTTAAGATCTCTTGAAATTACTTTTAAAATTGTTAGTTCACTCCCTAAAACAATTTAGAACTCCAAACATAGCCCAAACAGTTCCCGGACAGCTCAAGATTGCAACCAAACGTAACCTAACCAAAGAGCCTTCTCTTGAAAATCATAGAGCAGGCTCTTTACACCATGGAGCCTGCTCTATAAAAACTTAGAGCCTGCTCTAGAAACTTAGAGCCTGCTCCATAAAAACTTAGAGCCTCCTCTGTCCAGTTTTGCTCCGTTTCGCCTTTCAGCTTCGTCTCCGGCTATTCCCAACCTTCGGTTCATCTTTAATACTGAGTTTAAGAATCATATTTACACCCAAAATCATCCCCATGACTGGTTTTATAATCCGTTTAATCATTGAATTAAACTACGCAATTTAACTTTCCTCCAACCGTTAACAGTACTGAAAAGTTGTCTATTTTCCTACTGTTTAATACTTTAGCGTAAATGTATAAACTATGCAATAAGAGGTTTAAATACACTTGAAGTTTAAATTAAGAACCCAAATGCCCTCACAACATAATTCGAAAGAATTAAAATCATCCAAACGGTGCCCAGAAAATCAGAAAACACTAAAATACGTCAAAATATGAGAGAGCCTGCTCTAAAATGCAAGAGCAGGCTCTTGCAAGCATGGAGCTGGCTCCATGCCTTCTTGGAGCCGGCTCTTGAATGATGGGAGCCGGCTCTTCAATCCCCAGAGCCGGCTCTTCATCCCTCTGAGCCTCTGTTCTCCTCCAGCTACGTTTTTTCGACCATCTGCTTCAGCACCGGCCACTTCCACTCCCTTTGTTGGTTTTTAAAATTGTTCCAAGGAGTCCTAAGTATATCTAAAACCATCCCAAATCCTTACTTAAGTCAATTTCCATCAAATTAAAACTTAAAACTTTTACCGATCCAACATGCTTAGCCAGAGCAAGCACTGCAACCAAACCAAACTTGCATGAACTGTAACAAAATTAATTCACGCCCACATACAGATAATTGATTAAACAAATACTAAGCATCTAAGATTCAATTTATTAGTCCATTAAAGCCCTAGAGACTATCTACAGATGCATAGAACACAGGCAACGGGAGAGAGAAAGGAAAGAACTTGCCTTTGCGGTTTTTGAATCAAAACCTTGTCGCCGTCTTCCTAGGTTTTTTTCCGGCGATCATGACTGCCGTCAAGCCTCCTACTGCTCAACCTTCCCTTCTCCTATGACCAATCATTTATCCACAGTTGAAACCCTCACCAAAGACGGTCTGTTATTGTCTCACAATTTACGCTCTGTTCCTCTCTATCTCTCTGGTACGTGAAAAGGGTTTACATATTTTTTTAAAACCCTAAGTCAACATAATGATATATTTATAGGTTTAGAAAAACTAAAACCCTAATCTAATTTTAATCCGAGAAAGAAAATCAACCATAAAAGTTATAATGTGAGTCGGCTAAAAACATGTGAATATATGTAATCCTAAAATTATAACCTATATTAAATTATGATTAATACCTCAAGTTTAATTATTAATAAATACCAATAATTAAAAACTAACTCTATATACATATATACCCATATATATACATGTATATACTTCCATGGATAAAACGGTACCCATTTACACTATCCAAATAGTCCGTTAATCATATCCAAGCCCAAGTTCGATTAAAAATAAAATAAAATAAAAACAATACATTTAATTTAACATTCAAATGCCACTTCATCACGCACACTTATAATTAAATAGTTAGTTCATTTAAACAACAAAACAGGAAGCCACGTAACAAAAGTCATGAAAACACCTAAGAATAATAAAATAAAATAAAAATAAAATTCCAATTATGTCCTTTTTAAATTAAAGGGTATTACACTTACCTTCAATTCTAACAACTCAACCCGAGCCTAACCCATGCTTCTACTTTTAAACTAGGGTTTGCAAATCAAGCTTGTATTTTGGGTTAGGAAGTCAGGTTAATTCGGGTTTACCATATAGTCAATATTCACTCTGAAAATTTAATGTGATCTTGAATTAGTGTCAGAATAAATTACTCTTAATTTTTTTTAAAAAAACATATTAATTATTAATAATTACAAACAAATGTTAATGTGTAACAAATTAAGATTTAACCAATGAAGCTGGAAAAAAAAATGTGATCATATTATGAATATTATATATTTAAAAATAATTTTAAAATTCGAGTTCGGATTGGACTCAGGTTACTAGCACCTCAACCAAAGCCCAACCTTAATTAAGTTCGGGTTGAAATATTTCAATTCAAATCTAATCCTACTCGTAAAAATAATTATCCAAACCCATAAAAAATTGAAGTAGGCTCGGATTAAGTTCGGTTGCCCTAACCCAAATTGCACCCCTACATGATTCATATAGAATAGTTTCACTCCAAGCCTCTTCATGACTCCATACAACAATAAAAAAATGTGCCAAGTCATTATTTATGCAACTACACATTATAATGCCATACACAACTTAATTCAAACAAAGATGATAATGTGGATTTCTTGTAATTGTCAAATGTCATTAGGGAAAAAAAATAAAAGGATAAATTACACTAATCTTTTCTCAAATTTTGACAAATTACACACGGATAGATTATTCAATATTTATTATCTTTGAATTCTTTTGAGATTTGGCTTGTGTGCTAAATGACACCCTAACATTTTTCTTTTCGACATAACTATGATAATTTTGCCATTTCCTTGAATAAAATGCAATATAATATAGTATTGCTGATTTTTGCACATTCAAAAGTCACTTCTTTGTCGTGGACGAACGTGTTTAGGTGAGGCAAAAGTAATAAACGTTAAATAATCAGTTCGTGTATAATTTATTCAAATCTTAAGGGATGTTAATGTAATTTACCAAAAAAATAATTCCAATGTAAAATAAATACGTGTGTTATGATGACGTGTGTGCTAAATGACGCCCTAACATTTGAATTTCTAACATTAACGTTTGAGTTGAGAGCATTGTCATTAGCACTTAAAATTCAATTATTAAAAATTAATTACTAATTTCACTTTTGTGTTTTAGCAAAGAACACTTATTTTATTAAAATTTCAGAATTATCACCAAGTATATATAATTGCTTCAAGAGGCCCAACGCGTATATATTACATATTATTGGACCTTTTTGATAACAAATGTGAAAGAGACATTCGAACATTCTAGAAAATTGTTGGCAACTGATTTATTGAAAAATCAGTTTTAATCCACTAGAATTTTTTTGTTTGTTTTAGAAATTCCATCCCATACAAAAAAAATTATTTTGGGCTAATGACATGGGCCTTTTGTTTGAAGTAAAGATATTGGACTAGGCTTTGTCACTTCCATAATACATTTCAGTTTCCATACCTCGCTAAACACCTAAACCCTAACCAATCTCACTGCTTCTCTGTCCTCTCTCCGTCTCCTCTCCATTATTTCGAGTGAAGATCAAATCTAGGTCAGAATATGGCGTCGAGCGACCGAACGGTGTTGCAGTTCGTGCCATCTCCGACGAGCTTGTCGGCGAAGGTTCAACCTCTGGTGATCTTCAACATCTGCGATTTCTTTGTCAGACGGCCCGACCAGGCCGAGCGAGTCATCGGTACACTTCTGGGCTCGGTCTTACCCGACGGCACCGTTGATATCCGGAACTCATATGCTGTTCCTCACAACGAGTCCTCCGATCAGGTTCGCTTCTCTACGTTGTTTCCTGTTTCGTTTTAGCTGCTGTTCGATTGCCGGGAAAATCGTAGGAGAGTAGGAGATAAACATAAATTTCTGCACAAATTGATTGGTAGAGATTTTAATTTTACTCTTACTTCAAGTAGTGGGAACAAGGATCTGTGAGGATGGATAATGGATCTATTTTTGGAAATTGCACAAGTAGTTGAAAAATAATGTTCTATATTTTAGTGTGTGTTCTTGTGCGTGTTTGTTGGCTTTATGGTAGTTTGACACCAATTAGGTTATACATTCTCCAAGAGATAGATTCAAATTTTCTTTTGAGGATTGTGCGTTATGTTTGCTGTCTGTATTTTTATTTAGATTTTCATTGTTAAGATTTGTTTGTGTATGTGTTTCACCAGGTTGCTTTGGATATCGATTACCATCATAATATGTTATCATCCCACCAGAAGGTGAATCCAAAGGAAGTCATTGTTGGATGGTAATCTCCTATCTTAAGAATTTTTATAGGTAGCTTGAATTTCCCCTGCGCAGTTGGTTCTGGTATTTGTTCAATCATATTCTTTAATGCTAGTCTTGTACTTCTATGTTATATTGCACTAATGAACTGATACTGCTGTGACTTTCATGTTATGTAGTATTCTACATGAACTTTCACCTGGTTCTCTTTGTTTTCCATTATTTGCTGCTGCGGCCTCTCTGCATAAACCCACCTCTCTCATATGTTTTAGCATCACTTTCATAGTTGTGGTGTTTTCTCTTTTGGAGAATTGAAATTCTTATTGTTCTCAGCTTTGCCTTTTGCTTTTTTCATATTTGATATTTATATTCTCCACTACTTCACTCATACACATTCAAAGATTGTCATACTGAAAAATGGTAAAAGATGCAAGTTCAGGTAAGAAATGTACCATCAAATTTGGATTGTTTTTCCTTTTTTCTTTTTGGTGGATAAGAAATTTATTTATTAACAGACTCTTATGAATCCTTTGTGCCGGAACTCATTTTACATCATCTGTTGAATCTAGTTTTGTATAACTAACCGTTTCTAATAAACTATACATATTTTTCTTATTATTATTTTTAAAGAAGTTGACAAATTTATTTTCACCATATATGATCGTTTTTCATAGATTGTATAGAATGAAGTTTGTTATGTCATCTTGTCTCCGCAGATTTTTTGTCAATCAAATATATGAAAGCTTCCTGGTGACATAATGTAGTATATGTTACATATGTTCAGTTTTTTTTTTTTTTTTTTTGTTTTTTCCTAGTTGGGACTCTCACACACTGCCTCCACTGAGGTTCGAACCCCTAACTTCCCTTTGGGAAGGAGGAGCCTTGTACCGTTAGGCCACAGACCTGTTGGTCTCTCTTCTTTGATTGGCCAACTTCACCCACAGTAAAGGTCGTTTCTGTATTCAGAATTCACCACTGATGAGCAGAGATAGTCTTAGAGCAGGGGCGAGTTGCCCAGGGAAAGCCTCTGTGCCTGCGGCTGATTCTGCTAGAGGATCTGTTGCTTCTGTAGCTGTAGCTTCGTAGACATTGGCTTCCGCGGCATTCCTTACTCGCGGAGCGGCATACCGAAAAAAGAAAGGTTTCTTTATGCCCATCAAAGCACCTCGAGATGCTAATCCATGAAAAGACAAGTAATGGTGACCCACCGAAGACCTCCGAACTGAGGGTTCAATGACATCTTTTAGATTAAATCCCCCTTTTAGGTCGCTAGTTGATATTAGATAACACGTTTGAATACCCTATCTGTTTGACACTAATATACAAAAGATTCTCATTTCTGATTGATGGCTCAGGTTTACGAAACAGGATAAACTTTTGATCTCTAATAAGCTCAGTGAGACTCACATGATTTTAAAATGATGTCAATTCCGGAAAGGGGAGGGATTGCAATCTGTGACTAAGAGAGTTATATGGCTAATGAAAAAAAATACTTAGCTTTTTTTGAGAAATTTCCAGTAAACTCAAAGCAATAGAATTTGATTGTTGGGAACATTTGTTATTAATGTTAACAATGATGTGCATTGTTATATATTTTTGCCTCATTTTATGCACGTAACCAGAAGAGTGGAGTCATTTATTCAAACTTAGATGCTATTATCATTCATGGCCAATAGCCAAAATTTCTTTCCCTTTCAATTGCAAGTAATCTTTAGGAAAAAGGGATGAGTAGATAGAAACTACTCCCCTTGATATGAGTTTCTGTAAGCTGCATAACCACACAAGGGGACATGTATGCGTTTTTTATTTGTTGCTACAACAATAACAATAAAGAAAGTAAAAGACAAAAAGAAAACAAGAAGGATTTGTTGCCTTGGCAAAACTATCAGAATTTTGTTGGTCTAGTTTGATGAGGGGATAAAAAGCCCATTAACCCAGATATGCCCTTTCACCAACTTAAAAAATATTTGAGTTTTTAGGTATCCCAAAGAGCACTTTCTGGATTCTTGACTTGTTGCCTCAATGAAGTTGGTGGGAGTTCATTGGTGAACTTTCAAATCAGGCCTTAATTTATGAGCCCTGTTCTTGACATTACTTCAGTAAGAATTACCCATTATCTTCTAGAATAAAGGTGCTTGTTTATTTGTTGATATATATTTGGTTCTATTTGGTAGGAGTATTGGAATATTGAGAGGAATGATAAGTGGGACGGAAGGGAAAGAATTGCTTCTAATTTTTTTCTTTTCCTTCCGTCTTCATAATAGAAACTCTCTTAGTTTCCTCCCTTTTTCTTCTGCCCCTTTCGTCCTTCCCAATAAACCTTCCTACCAAATGGAGCATTCAGTTTGCAGGTTTTAGATGTGTGTTTTGATTAGTATTTCATCCAATTATTTATTTATTTATAATTTATCAGATTGGAAATCAAGGAATTGGCTGAATGATTTTTACTTATTTGCCATATATCATGGAAGTACTAACAAGGCAACAACTTAATTTTCTAATTTATTTTATTTTATTTTATTTTTTTATTTATATTTTATTTTATTTTTTTTACTACTTTAATTGTGCAGGTTTTCAACTGGCTTTGGAGTCACAGGCGGTAGTGCGTTGATCCATGAATTTTATTCTAGAGAAGTTTCAAATCCTGTTCATCTGATTGTCGATACAGGATTTCGGAATGGAGACGCTACCATAAAAGCTTTTGTCTCCATGAATTTGTCTCTTGGAGATCAACAACTTGCTGCACAATTTCAAGAGATTCCTTTGGATCTACGCATGCTTGAAGCTGAGAGGGTTGGATGTATGTTTTTATTTTTATTTCCCGTTCCTAGGAAAATCTTTGCTGTCCTCTATCTCTCTCTCTCTCTCTCACACACGCACACACACCAGGGTAAAATATCTTCTTACTTTAAGGTACACATTATTTTGGTTGGCAAAGCTGAAAAAATAATCTGCAAACCTAATACCTCAAGAACTTGCTTTACAATAGACTAACAGAGGTGTGCTAATTTAAACTCCTACTTTGACAGGGGTTAGCGTCGTAGGTTCTTACATAGAACTTCTGCATAAAACTAAAAGTCTAAATTTGTCATAGAGCTACATGTCAGTGTTTTAATTTGTGAGGATACTAGTCTTGGCCATAACTTGCCTACCTCTTGCCCATAACTTACCTACCTCGTTGCAGGAAAGCATTGCCTGAGTTTATAGGTTTTTGTGGTTGAATGTTCTCTCCTGATCATGAAGCACTGAGGTAACTGCAGGTCTCTGTGATGCTGGGAATTTCTAAGCATGTAAAACTTTTAGTTAGGTTATGAGTAAGACTTGATTTCCAGAAACAATCTATATGGATTAAATCAATCCTTTGCCCATATCTGAAGCTCTTTGTTCATGACTTCATCTTTCATATTGACTTGATTTGTTATTATTATTATTTTTAATTCTCGGTCAACGTATTATTTTCTTCTGAAACTGGTCTTAGTTTTCCTAATCATACAGGAAATTGGACTTTAAAGTTCTCTCTTTAACCTTCTTAGATTAATCAATTCTAACTTGATTCACGATTGTAGTTGACATCCTTAAGAAAACCGTGGTTGAGAAACTCCCAAGTGATTTGGAAGGAATGGAAGCCTCGATGGAACGCTTACTAGCTCTTATCGATGATGTCTACAAATACGTTGATGATGTTGTGGTAAGGAAACTGGTTCTCTTCGCACTTTAAAAATTCTCAATTCCCTTTCATCGGATTCCACTTTCATTTATCTTTATTTCTTTATTTTTTCCACTCAGGAAGGGCATGTTGAACCAGATAATAATATTGGGAGATTCATATCAGAGACTGTAGCCTCCATTCCAAACCTTTCACCAGCAGTTTTTGATAAACTTGTGAATGATAGTCTACAGGTAAGATCGACTTCTTTTTATTTGTGGCATATGTGCACAATAGCTAAAATTGCAATTTTTAAAATAGTGCTCGGGGGAACCTTCTGTTGCATGGGTTCACCCAAGAGATGATATAATCCCCAAAAACGAGTTTGGCCCATGAATTTCACAATCTTTGTGTCATTTGATTTGTTTTGGTCAATAATAAACATTAGATGAATTGCTGGAACCTGTGGATCAGGTTCTGCTTTGCATCCCAATACTTGGACTGAACCATTTTCTTAGTTCTGGTGTTTGAAACCATTGTTAATTTATTAATTATTATACTGTTTGAATTGTTATTATTAATTTGCTTTGTGTTTTCGATTGTTCTCCACAGGATCAACTACTCTTGCTATATTTGTCAAGTGTCACAAGAACGCAGCTCAGCTTAGCAGAGAAGTTGAACACAGCTGCTCAGATTCTGTAGCTGATATCTCCCCTCCTTTGAAGAAACTCATATGCCGAGACAGTTTTCCTTTCAATTGTGGTCTGTGTTTAGCGATGCATGGCCAACTTTTGAGACATGCTCTCATTTACCAAAGAATGGTTATAATTATTCCCCCCACAATTTGGAGCCATGTAGGTTGTACTTTTTTGTCAATCTAAATGTTTTGTAGTAGTAAAATTGCTATGCAGAAACAAAATATACAGTTTTTCTGGACCTTTGACATTTAATTGAAGGTTGAAAATCAGGATATTGCCCCTAGAACATTTGAGACGGGTCATTTTATATGGGATTACTATGACTTCGTGGATGCTTTATTTGAAAATGGAAGGTGGTGGTTGAATGCTAAAGAAACACTTGCATCAACTTGTTCCTGCGATATGAACCTTGTCCCTGAGTTGAATTCATTTCTATAAAGAACTCCGAAACTTGAATTTCTCATATTAATAAATATTCTTGTACACAAAAAAAAAAAAAAAAATACAAAACAAAACAGAGGCAACATGACAATCAGTGTATTGGTTTAGTTGAATTTTGGAGATTGAGTTGCCATGTTGCATGACAATCAGCTGTGTGTTTGATCAGTCAGTCCTGCTGGGCTTAAGCCTGCGTTTAGATTCAACCATGTCATCGTGAAAATGAAATGGCAAAAAGTCAACTGATAACTCGAAGGATGTCAAGATTGAGCCCACAGTCCACTTTAGAGAGATATCACTTCATCTATATTAGAATTGAAATTGCAAGTAGTTGAGTGAGTCAATTTTGGAGATTGAGTTGTTTCTTCTCACCTTGTGAGATGTTTTGACCATAAATTTCAGCAGAGGGTAATTGTAGGTGTCCAGCTGCAGGGGCGGAGTTTATTACATCACGTCGAGTCTATTTGCAATACTACTTTTTCTTTTAGCCCAGCTGGGTATTTTTCTTTTAGCCCAGCTGGCTGCCTCTAAAAACAATTGGAGTATAATTTTTTTTTGCGCTTAAATCGACTGCGGCATGTCCCACTAAATAAAAATCCATTGCCGTTCCGAATTTTTGTTCACATAAGGACACGCGTCCCTCATTTGCATTGATTGCATTCTCATAATTTTTTGCATTATATGATTGGGTCTTCTCACAACGTTTCCCTAGTATTTAATGGTGTCGCACTGTCGCATAAGTGGGTGTGAAGACTTTCAAATATTGAGTACCAACAAACCCGGCGGAGACAAGAAAGAAAAGGACGGAAATCAGGGCGGCCTAGATTTCACGCGTGCCTATATATATATATATATATATAAACACAGTGACACACACAAGCCTAGCTATGGAAGACGGTCTCGATTGTCACTGAAAAACATTTCCCCTGTTTGTATATGCATGTTCGATCTTAAATAGACCCACCAATCTCTCTCTCATTCATGTCCCAGGATCTACGTGGAACGTGGACGCAAAGACACAGTTAAATCCCACATATGGCGCTTTTACCAAGCTCATCATTCAATCTTTTATTGCATGATTATTATTATTATTTTGTTCCTTCTTTCACTTTTGGATTATAAAGCTAACTCATTTTTAATAATTAGCTTGTTCCATGTCTTTCATCCATCTTTCTTTGAGATACTCTTGAATTCAACTAATTAATTTTTATTATGTAATTTTCATTTTAGAATAATTTTTTTCTAATAAAAACATCAATGATTTGATTAGAAGTTTGTTTAGGTGGTTGTTATTTCAAGCATCCTGTTACAACTTTGATTGCTCAACAAGTAAAGCCGATAACATTGGGTTTGATTTAGTGGACTACTTTTAAATATATTTTACTCGTTTTTTCTTAAAAATTCTCATTTTTAATGTACGAAAACAAATTAAGAATTTCTATGACTATTCATCGGGCGGGAATTAGGGGGATGCCACGTATAAAGTACCCCTAAAATTAGTATACTTAATCCTCCATTAATGTTCAACTAGACAAACTTGAACAACTCAATCTGTAAGTATAATGTACTACCTAACCAACAAAGTGATTAACTTAAAATTTATTAAAAGTTAGAGAAGCTAGGGATAAGAATTAAGAACAGAGCCACTGTGAAGTGCCAACAGCTAAAAGACAAATGGATTGTATTATCTATTCATCGTGAACTACATATATATATATATATATATATAGCCTTGAGAATTGTAACATCGAAGCACGCACTACAATGAACCGTCCACTTTCTTCGCTAAAGACATGCAAATTAGGTGCGTGTCAAAGACCAGAAAATAGTACCGAGTACTCAAACATCAATAAAGGAACAAGTGGAAATTAAGAACAGCTTATACAATTTCAAATGAAAAAGATAGTCTACATGTTGGGACACTAATAGTTTGGAAATGCGTCTCAAAGACACAGAGTTGATTGAAAAGTGTGTAGCATTGTATAGAGGATACTGTACTGGCAAGCTGTTATTACAAAATTCATACGTGAACACTTGGTTATAATTGCATTGTGTGTGTGTGTGTGTGTGTATAAAACCTATGTCTCAAAACATTGTAGTAATTGATGATGCGACAAGTTTGAAAGTAACAAAATGAGGGTACGAGTCTTCGTTCTTCAGCATATATATATATATATATACACACGCGCACACACATACACATACACATACAGTGTAAGCTATAACGGGAAAGAGGACATTTTATTGGGCAAGGTTTTCAGTGGAGAAAGAGAAGAAAAAGATACTGGGATAGGTAAAAAAAAAATAGCGTTAAGATGCTTTGCACATAGAACTGAGTTTTTTATGCTTAAATTAGCTATCCAATCACAGTACAAATCTGTTTTATTATGTCAAAGACTACTTCTCCCTATTTCCTGTTACTTCTAGTTTAGTTTAATCATTTTTTAATCACTAGACTTTTCTAAACATGCTCGTGACTGTGAGCTACACATAAGGGTGTCCAAAGAATATGTGGAATCGAATTGAATCGAACTGAATTTGAACCGGTGCTTCGGTTCCAATTCTAATTTTTAAGAACCGTTGAGAACGGTTCCGGCTCTAGACTCCGAAACAAGAACCGAAACCGTATAATAATTATAAATATTATGTTTTTAATTATATAATTATTAATATACATGATACAAAGAGATATATAATAATAATAATAATAATAATAATAATAATAAAAGTATGTTCTACTTTACCTTCAATAGCTGAGCGAGATGAGATGCATGGTTTTGTTCTTTCTTTGCACATCGTTTAGTGTACCAAAATGTCATTTAGTACAATATTATATATCAAAATGCATTATAAATTGGTTTAGAGTCATTAAATTATTATTATTATTATTTTTTAATTTTAAAAATACGGAACCAAATCAAACTGGAACCGTGGAACCGGTTCTATGTTCCAATGATCCGATTATATTTTTTAGGAGCCGTTGGGACCAATTTCGATTTTGATTTCAATTTCGTCAGAAATCGTAAGAACCGAAATCGTGTGCATCCCTAACCTACATATAAAAAAAGAAGTAACAACTTTAGCACATTGAGTTGAACACCTGACTCACCTCTCCCTCAGCTACAATAATTCATTCTCTCTTTTTAACTGTGTAATTAACAGTTTTTCATTGAGTTATATTTACTTTTGACCAAACTAAAGTAATTATAAACTAGCATAGCATACTTTTTAGGAGTTCTTAGTAGCTCACCTCTTGCACAAAAGTTGCATTAATTCTTCTTTTCCTACAAGTCCCTTTCAACTTTGAACTCCTCTCTAGCTTAGAATTAATTCTATTCATGATATAAGGACAAGACCTCAAAATGTATACTATATAAAAAAAAAATCTGTCAGCTTATATAATACACACACACACAGAACCACTAGGCTTAGTTTCTAATTAAGCTCCTAGAATTCAAATAGAAGATTGTATTGTTAAAAGGACGTGAGTTGGCAATGACAGGTGCAACAGGACATGAAAAAAAGCCAAGTTGGTCCCCCTTCTAGTAATCTCAATTTGGTGGCTTTATTGTCCTCTTGTTTCTGTCTCACCCCCTTAAAAGAAGGTTTTAACTCCACGTTTTTTTGACTGAATGGTCAACTGATTAAAGCCATATCCATGTCAGTAATTGTGATCACAACCTTCCAACTCATACCAGACAATGTGAACTTTGACTTTCACTTACATCAACCTCCTTTCCAGCAACCATTCATATGATCATTTGCGGACCACCTCTAGTTTAATAACAACACTTGGTTAACTCACTAAAGGCCATTTGGCCCAATGGTACAGCCTCGTCATCTTCAAAGAGGGGGAGGGGTTAAAACTTAAACTCGAATGTGGATAAAAAAAGGTGTGTTTACTTTACCATTTAAAAAAAAAATCTTGGTTGAAGAGCACTGTTATTTGTTGTGATAAACGATTATTGTGACATATCATTACTTATGGTACTGACTTCGTAAGAGACGTGTGAGTGTTATCATAGGCGATTGTCACAACAAATATAATTTTTCTAAAACACTTACAAATGGATCTTTTTAAGAGTATTAAACTAGTAAAGACAGACGAGCCCAACACGAAACTGACAAAACTCGATTATGTTGTGAACATGAGACGTAATGCTTTATGAGACACTAAGTCCCAGAGTTACACAATTGGAGCCGATCCGCTAGGGTTCTGTTAAAATAAGCTTGTGAACAAGAGTGATGAATGAACTCTATTCATTGATTAGTCGATTGAAATAATTTTTATGATTAGTGGATCCTATTATTACGGGTGAATATTTCATTAACTAGATAATGATACCATGTCATGGTCTATCAAAAGTAAACTCAAACAATCCCATATATATATATATATATCACTGGTTAATAGATATTTAATCGAGAATCTGATAATGAAGTAGAATATTTTAGACAGAATATGAGAACTTACCTCTTTGTCTGCTCGCCGACCGAAACGTTGAACAGTGGCAGCTTTTGTGCATGTGTATCTCTCTTTCTCTCTCTACACAAAAAACCAGGAAAAAACAATGCGATCAATTCCTCAAAGTTCTATCTCACATTCCCTAAAATCAAAGCACACTCAATATTAAATTTTAAAAAGTCCTTAGCTTCACTTACATTACATGTTGAATTGTATTATATATGAGCACGAACTCGTGTGTCTTTTGAGTTCAGAACTAGGGTTCAGAGGCCGATCCATCGGACAAGTTCAGAAATGGACAGAGGAATGTCAGGCTTTTGTGTCAGACCACGCGTCGGCGGTGGAGGCGGTGGTGGCAATAGCGGTGGTGGAACAAAGTGTGGGAGGTGGAATCCGACCGCGGAACAGGTTAAAGTTCTGACTGACCTGTTCAGGTCCGGACTCCGAACTCCGAGCACTGATCAGATCCAAAAGATATCATCGCAGCTGAGCTTTTACGGCAAGATCGAGAGCAAGAACGTCTTCTACTGGTTTCAGAACCACAAGGCTAGAGAGAGACAGAAGCGTCGCAGAGTTTCTGTATCCGAACCAAATGATCTCTCCGCAAAGCGTAAGTCAACCATTTAGGCACATATAATCATTTTCTTTGCTTCTCTCTATTTTTCTCGAGAAACAAACAGAGTCTTAACGAGTATAATTTCATTGATAGCAGATCTTACAGAGATTAATCAAGTTTCGGACACGGAAAGAGTGACAGAGACTTTGCAACTCTTTCCATTGAACTCGTTCCATGAATCGGAAGCGGAGAAGATTAGATTCTTTGGATATGAATGCAAGGAGAATACGACGTCGTTTTCTTACTCTATTGGGACTGAAATGGATCATCCGCCATTGGATCTGCGTTTAAGCTTTCTGTAAAAAAAAAATTCAAACATGTTTGAATTACTGTCATGAATCGATCCACTTTAGGTTTAGCATAAAAAAAAAGAGAGAGAAATTAACTCCCAAAAAGGAAAAAAAAAAAAAAAAAAAATGAAAAAGAAAAAGAGAAAGAAGGTTTATGTCCTGAGTTGTAAAATGCACGTAGCTCTAGATATTGTAGCAGTGGGGTTGAAACTTTAAAAATGGTTCGACATTGATTATCCTATGCGTGCACATAAAACATTGTTTTTCTTTATGTGTGTAAATGTGTGTGAATATATGCTTGGGAAATGTAATGTGGTTGTTCTCAAGAAAAATAAGAGAATATAGCTTGAAAAAGGGTAGATTTGTTGGTTCAAGTTCTGAAAACAATTGATTTTGAACCAGAATTATGTGACAAGTTAATTTCTTTACAAACCCTTCTTTTCAAATTTTTATAAACTATTCTTTATATAATTTAATTGGAATTGTATAACATAAATTCAAATGGTACGATGTCTTTCATTCAAAGTAGTGATTGAGTTGAGTGTTTGAAACTAAATTGGAGACAATATTGCTGAGTATGTACCTTTTTTGCTTCAATACTTCCATAGTTTTTAATCCTTTAACAAAATCGTAATTTTCAGTTGTTTTTTTTGAGCCATGCATAGAAACATGATTTTTGAAGTTCTATTTTACTAGTAACTTTTTCTTTTTTCTTTTTTTATTTTTTATTTATTTATTTATTTTCTTTATCCTATTTTTAACTAGTGCCCCACTTATGATTGATGGCATTATGGCAAATAAAGAAAAGAATTATTATAGGATGTTTGAAGAAATTGTCTCCACATGTTGGCAACACAAGACCATGAGTAGGTACGGAAAGCAACAGAGAAAGAGGAAAAGATGAGTGTGTGTTGCATGCTACTTCCTTTTCCTTACATGCCCCATCTTTTACTTCTTACCATTTTTTTAAGCGACTACAACCACTCTCTAACCTGATCAAGAATTGGGTGAGCACTGTATCTGTATCTGTATTTGAAATTAAAATTAATAGAAATTTATTTAAAATTTAAAATTAGATTTACTTTAATTTTAAATTTAAATTCCAATTCAGTACTCTCAAACCCAATATACTTTGACTTTTGTAATGACATTCTTGTAAAAAGCTAAACAATATATATGGCAAATTCCACTTACCCCATTGAAGTTTGTAAATATCCCATATGGACTATTTCCACTTCCTTTATATTTTATAACCTTATTTACCTCCTATAAAGGTAAGTAAAATTATGAAACTATTTGCACTAAAAAATAAATTTAGTAGCTAGTTCTGTTATATTATTATTATTAGTGTTAAGTGCAAAAAACCCCCTCATAATATACAAAATGTGCAATTCACCCTTATTGTTCATAAAACCCCCCTGCATTTTACAATTTGTGCAAATAAAGACATTAGGTCAATTTAGCCATTGAAATGTTTAAAATTTCTTTTTTTTGGAAGGTCTCTCTCCCCTCTATTTCTCACTTTGTTTTCACTTTCTAGTGGAACTCTCTTTCCAGCGACTTCCATATTTATTTCTCCATATCTTCTCTTTTTCAACAACTTCCATATATTTATTGATCTTCTCATATATATATATATATATATATGCAAAATCTTTAAAAGAAATGCAATATACCCATAATAACTTTGGTTTTAGAAGCAAAATCTTTCGATCTCTTTCTCCTTTTTAACATATGTGAGAAAGCGTGGTTGCAAGGATATACATAACAATGTTCATATAATTTAATTTTTTTGATTTTTAGAATGTAAATGCTGCTCTGAGCCTATGAAGGATCAAAATGATACTGTGATGAACAACCAAGAAGGACAATTGAACTTGTGCATCTCAGGCTCTAGATCATAGACTAAAACTGAAACAAATTGAGATGATGCCAAAACCAACACAACATTTATCTTATTGTAAAGTATGTTTATATACTCTTGACATACTGAAAATACTCATCTTCAGGGAATATCAGTAATTTTTATATTTCAAATTTCACAAGATAAACACGTTCATTTCGTTCTCTCCATGTCTTCACCAATTAAATATTTTGTGGTGTTAGTTATATATATATATATATATATATATATATATATATATATATTAAGCAATTTGTTTTAGAAGTTACCTAAATACATAATTTTTTTTTTTCATCAAAGTTGTAATTTTTCGGCGATGATATTTATTATAGTAGTGATTTTTAGACGAGAGTCATGAGAGCTAATTGGTTATTGTTGAAGTCGAAATAGACACGATGCATGAAAATGTATGGTGTTCCTCTAAGTTGTAGAGACTAGAGAGAGAGAGCTGAGAGACTATTTAGAGAGAGAGATTTTATTTTCTTTTCTTTTCTTTTCTTTTTTCCTTACATCTGCAAGGGCATTTTAGGGTTTTTATAAAAAAAATTGGTCAAAATTGATGATTAAGGAGTAATTTACTCAAAAGGTTGATGATACAGGGATTTATATGCACTTAATTTTTAATGGGGACATTTCTTACACATTTTTTATATAGTGAGTTATGAACTTAACCCTTATTATTATTATTATTATTATATATTAGGATTTGATGACAAACCTCATGCGTGTAATGATTGTTGAAGGAATGAATGATGAGCACAAAAGAAGTTGGCTCTGAATACAAATTTGAAGTGTTTGAATTAAAAAAGGAGGTTGATTCTCAACTACAAAATAACATTTAGAAATGGTTAGATGATTATAAATAGCATGGAAGAAGGCCTGTGAAGAGGTTCCTGACCAACAAATCAGAATTTTCACTATGTAGTCTTTTATGCTTTCTTTGTATTTCCTTTTCTTTACATAGTATTTTCCTTGTCTGTTCTTTCGTTAGGAGTAGTGTTTTAGTTCGGTCACAATTCCTGTACTTGCAATCCTCATATTGAAATTCTACTTGTCTGTTCTTGTTTGATGAATGCTTGTACGGTTTCCTTTGTTCTCTCCATACAATCCCTTTTTCTGCAATTGAAGTCCTTTTCGTTGAGGCTTGAAGAACCGGGAAGGAAAGTGGTAATTTCTTACTTTCCTAACAATGCCAAACAGAATCGTAGAGGTAACCTATGTAAAATATTGATAAACTTCAAGATAAGTAAAATTTATCCATAAATATATATATATTTATATCTATATCTATACTATTATTAAATGTGCAAAGAGTTTCAGTGTTTCAGTATTTATTTATTATTATAAAAAAAAAGTTTTTATAAACAAAAAAATTATCTAAAAATTATTTACAGAGTTTAATTCAAATTACCTAAAAATTAATTTAAATAGTTTAATTCAAATTATAAATTACCTAATAAAATTTATTTTTTTTGTCCCACATCGATGTTAAGTGAAAAAGATTACATAGAAGCCTCTTATAAAACTATAGACTTAAAGAAATAATAATTACACATTGTTCGGCCTTTTAGCTAAGATGGAGTGTAATACTAAATTTTTTTGAGTCGGCCTTTTAGCTCACCTTTGTTGGTCTTTTGGCTAAGATAAAGTATAGTATTACTTTTTCGGCCTTTGTGCATAGAGTTTCAATATTTATTTGTTCATATAAAAAAAGATTTTTATAAACAAAAAATTACAAAAAAATTATTTAAAGAGTTTAATTCAAATTACAAATTACCTAATAAAATTTATAAAAATTAATTTAAAGGGTTTAATTATCAGATAAAACAGAATCATCAGATTCCCCTTCATAATCAAACAGCTTCTTTTGCATTTACTTCGTCAATCTTGGCACAAGTCTGTTCAAGAAGATTGAGACTCTGGAGGGTTATTTTGGAATTTTCAAAATCAATTTATCAATTTTTTTTTTTTTTTTAGAATAATATAAGTCCGAACAACAACTTCCTCTTCATAATTAAAAGCACCATGTTTTTAAAAATCTCATCAAAACATATCACATGCACTAGGACATACAATTTTGGGATGCATGGAGTCATCATTTAGCCTCCTGGTAACTTCTTTTGATAATGTTACCAAGAATTCTGAACCTTATGCCGTTTTCCACAGAGTTGCGGGTGAACGGGAGGTTCTTAAGTAAAGAGTTGGAAAAAATGTGGCCGTTGTTTAATCCTACAATTGGTGTACGTGTCCTCCCTAGGCCTTTATTGGCTCCGTCCCTGATAACTAATTGCTTAATAGAGATAATCAGGGTATCTCTTTGGTGGTTGTTTAATCCTACAATTGGTGTTATGTGTTGAGGACGTTGCTGTAGATCAAAGTTTTGCATTCTACTTGGTACAATTTTCTTCATAGGTGGATTCTATGGCAGGATTGTGCACTATGATTCCAAAGAAGAGAAAAAATAAAAGAGAAGAAGTTGAAAGCACGTTGGAAAGATTGTGATTCTGTTCTTGTATGGTAATGCTTAACGCGCATGCATTCTGTAATGACCAAAATACCACAAAGATATTGACCAATCTTTACGTGAGAATTGACATTTGATTAACAGTGTATCATACGATTAATTTATGCTAGACCTAAATAAATAAATAATAATCAAATTTTTCTCGGCCTTTCAGTATTTATTTATTAATATAAAAAAAGAGTTTTTATAAACAAAACATTACCTAAAAATTATTTAAAGAATTTAATTCAAATTACAAATTACCTAATAAAATTTATAAAAATTTATTTAAAGAGTTTAATTCAAATTACCTAATAAATTTCATTTTTCTTGTTCCACATTGGTTTTAAGTAAAAATGATTACATGGAAGTCTTTTATAAAACTATAAACCTAAAAAAATAATAATCATACATTTCTCGGCCTTTTAGCTAAGATCAAGTGTAATACTAAACTTTTTTGGGTCGGCCTTTTGGCTAACCTTTCTTGGTCTTTTGGCTAAAATTAAGTGTAGTACTACCTTAAAGAGTTTAATTCAAATTACAAATTACCTAATAAAATTCATTTTTCTTGTCCCACATTAATTTTAAGTAAAAATGATTACATGAAAGTCTCTAATAAAACTATAAACCTAAAGAAATACGTGTAGTACTGCTTTATCGACTTTTTGGCTTTCGGTATTTATTTATTAATATAAAAAAGAGTTTTCATAAATAAAAAATTACCTAAAAATTATTTAAATAGCTTAATTCAAATTACAAATTACCTAATAAAATTTATAAAAATTAATTTAAAAAATTTAATTCAAATTACAAATTACCTAATAAAATTCATTTTTTTGGTCCCACATTGGTTTTAAGTAAAAATGATTCTCTTATAAAACTACAAACCTAAAAAAATAATAATCATACATTTTCTCAGCCTTTTGGATAAAATCAAGTGTAACTAATTTTTTTTTGGGTTTCTTGGTCTTTTGACTTTCAATATTTATTTATCAATATATAAAAAGAGTCTTTGTAAACAAAAAATTACCTAAAAATTATTTTAAAATATTTAATTCAAATTAAAAATTACCTAATAAATTAATTTTTCTTGTCCTATATTGGTTTTAGTGGAAGCTTCTTATAAAACTATAGAGCTAAATAAATAATAATCACATCCTTATCGGTCTTTTGGTTAAGTTCAAGTATAGTACTAAATTTTTTTGGGTCGGCCTTTTGGCTAACCTTTCTTGATCTTTTGACTAAGATCATGTGTAGTACTATTTTCTCGGCCTTTGTGCAAAGAGTTTCAGTATTTTAGTATTTATTTATTAATATAAGAAAAGAGTTTTTATAAATAAAAAATTACCTAAAAATTATTTAAAGAGTTTAATTCAAATTACAAATTACCTAATAAAATTCATTTTTCTTGTCAAAGAGTTCAATTCAAATTACAAATTACCTAATAAAATTCAATTTTCTTGTCCTACATTGGTCTTAAGTAAAAAAGATTACATGGAAGTCTCTTATAAAACTATAAACCTAAAGAAATAATAATCACACATTTCTTAACCTTTTGGCTAAGATCAAGTGTAGTAATACTAAATTTTTTTGGGTCGGCCTTTTGGCTAACCTTTCTTGGCCTTTTGGCTAAGATCAAGTGTTGTACTACTTTATCGGCTTTTTGAATGTGCAAAGAATTTCAGTATTTATTTATTAATATAAAAAAGAGTTTTTATAAACAAAAAATTATTTTTTTAAAGAGTTTAATTCATTTTTCTTGTCCCACATTGGTTTAAAGTAAAAAATATTACATGGAAACTTCTTATAAAACTATAGACCTAAAGAAATAATAATCACACATTTTTCGACCTTTTGGTTAAGATCAAGTGAAGTACTAAATTTTTATACTATCCTCGATGCAACACAACAAACCAAAAATGCTTTCAAAAGTATTATTATATCTTAAAATCTTATTATTGTATTTATTTCAATGGTTTAATAATATTACAAATACATAATTCTTTATCTTTACTCATGTGCATATTTATGATGATAATTAAAGTGCGAAGTATGAAACATATTGGAGCACTTGCAACCCTAACAATGTTCAATGATTGCCAAACATTATAAATTGTTCACTAAATGATTTACTACAATTACAAATTGAGATAATTTTCCACTCTTATTCATAAAATTTTAATTAAATTAAAAAAAAATATTTACTTGAATTTCTCAATAGCTTTAAATTATATTTGTTCTTTTTACAAGACATGGATGAATTCAGCAACAAAGTGACAAGCTGCAAAGGAAAATCTTTTCTTTTCCTGGTGAAGATAGATAATACTCAACAACAAATCGTAAAAACTTATTTTGCGGTGGAAGAATTAAAAGAATTGACACTTGACAATGATTCATTCCATGAAGAAATGAGATATGCAAAAAAGATAAAAATTGAGAAATAAATAATTTAAGAATACTTTTATTTTCAAACAATTATAGTTTTGAATTTTCTAATATATTTTGTTTCTTTTGTGGTGACAAGTATTACAATCTAAAAATTGTTGGTACCTTTTCAGATTTTATAGTATATAGAATTTTTATATAGTATTTATTTATGAATATTTTGTAAAGTAGAGAATTTTATTTCATATATTTTTTAAATGTTTATAGTTTTCATTTATACATCAATGAAAAACCTTATTTTGTTTCTTTTGAGATGACAATTATTACTCTCTAAGGCATTATGAGCCTGAAACTATTTTGCTTATTTTTTTTTATAAAACTATAAATAATTAAAAAATATAAATTATATAAATTAAAAAATATTCATCATGTGCATCGCACGTGCTTTTTACTAGTGTGTATATATATATATATATGACTATGTTACCATAACCAAACAACTTGGTCAATGTTAACGTCCATAGTTAAGATTCCTGTATTTTCCTAGGAACTCCTAAGATCAAATTTTGATTTATTTTTTATGTCCGAATTCTATGACGTATGTGTCAATTGTTTGAGATGTGGGTGCACGATATAGCGAAGAGCCTCCTTTTTGAATTTAAGCCCAATTTCTTAATGCAATTAAGATCATGTTGTGAGAAATGTAGAGAAATCGTGGTCATGTTTCCTTACCATAAATTTTCATTTCAAAAATAAGCGAAATTTGATTCATATGTATTTATCAATGTGAATCCCGAAAGATTGCGCTTAAAATTAATAAATTACAGTAATAAAATCTAATTAAAGGGGGAAGAAAATTGAAAAAATGAAATAGTACTAAATTTTGGTCGTGTGATGCACACATGTACAAGTCTTAAAATGCTTTCTTTCCCCTGTTTAAAGGCCATTAATTATGTAGCTATGGCCCTATGGGATGAATAATACAATTAGGTCTCAAATCACATATAGATTTAAGGTGGCTTCAACAAATTCAGTTCCTTAAAAACATTCTGAAAATAAAGAACTAGAAAGAATATGTAATCTTTCCAACTTTGTGTTGCATAAAAATTAAAAATAATAACAATGGTAATAATAAAATCAGAAAACTGTCAAAAAAAAAAAAAAAAATGAATAAATTACACCAAATGAAACAGTAAGTAAAAATAAACAAATAATCTGAGGGACAGCTAAGAAACTGGAAATGCAAGAGAGTATTATTGAATATGTAATTCCATCTTCACCACACTAGTGGTCTCTCGTAACCTCTAATAAGTGAATCCTAATGAGGCCTGAGGATGACAAAAAGGTAAGTCACAAGACTCACGATTGGGTTTATTATATCCCACAAGAGAACTAGCTTTCTAAGTTCTGGTGTTCTAACTCCCAAGTCTGCTTTTGAAACCACAAAAACATAAAACATAAACCTCAAATGCATTTTCTGAAAGATCGAGAAATAGAACATGGAAGTCATGGATATGATATTGGCGTTCACTTATGAACTTTTTGGCAGAGCATATGTACAGCCCCACTACTTCAAGTCATCACGAAGGTGGTCCAATTTCCACAGAATACAAAAATACCTTCAATAGAATTCAATAAAATGGTATAGTTTCATTTTAAGGCCTTGGAGCCAGAATGCATGCACAATGTGCCTTGCTGGTCAGAGTTACAACTATAACGAATCTCATTGCAGCTATTTGGTAAAAATAATTACAACGTATAAGCTTTATCATTCTATACAAATGTTCAATGCTACTATTTGTTCACAAAACTGATCATTTGACACGAGAAAGAAGAACCGAAACTAATTTCTTTCGTAAGATTGGGAACTCCATTAGAACCGTACACAGACTTGAACTCACGAGTTCTTATACAAATTCACATCACAAGATTGTTAGTTAAGAACCAAAACATACTGCACTACAACATTTCTTGAAGCCAATACATCTACCATTATCAGTCTCCTGTCAGCACCGCGTAACTTGTCATCTCCACTCAATCATCTTCATTTTCATCAGGCTGAAATGATTGCTCCAACTCCGCATCCATGATTACCCCATTCATTATATGCACAACAATCTCACCCTTCATAAGACCTACCCGCACTGACCTAACTCTATTAACTACCAGCATTCCATCTAATCCCTTCGAAATGTACAATCTAAATCCGGATAAGGAATCATAATTGATCTCCTTATCAAATGGTAACATAACCGAAGAAATCATCCGAGGCACAGCCGAGAAACCCAATACTCGAGTGAGTATTGCATATGTATCATTCACCTTCTCCGCACTCAAACTCTCATTCACCCGCAGCCTCAAGTCCCTCTCAAACGCCTTCTCCGAAGGGACAAATATAGTAAATTTTAGATCTTTAGGCAACATATCAACCATCATTTCCCCAAATTTCCCTATACTATCCGCATAAACCTTCTCAAATCTATTGGATCTATGGGGTCTTAAGGCACGAATTGCACTATTTCCCACTGATACGTCTGGAAGCCTAAGCATCGAAACAATCGTAACCGAAAGGCAAGAAACAGAGATCACTATACAAACAAAACCCACTGAATTCTTCAAAAAACTTCTTAGGGTCTTCATTGAAAACCCCCAATGGCTTCTAAATGATATTTCTCACAATAAATTTACTTTATGAGCTAGAAATTACAAAAATCAAAAGTGTTATTCTTAGAAATTATCTATCTTTATCACTCATCAAAACGAAATCAGGTTTCAAGTACCGTTAGTGTCGTAATTTGCGGAAAGCGAAGATTAGAGAAAGGGGACTGAGCTAGCTTCTGCGTTCACGGTGTCTAATTCTAGCTAAGTGGACTGTCTTTTATCTGAGGACTGCAAATTACTCGATTAAAGCAAAATCATATTGGAACATTTCTGTTTGGTTGGCGAGAAAGCGAAGGAAAAGGGGAAAAAAAAAGAAGCTTGAATCTTAAATGAATTACCTGAAACTGAAAGTTCCTGGGTGAAAGAGATCGTGGATTGCAAAATTCTCTTCCCTCTCTCGTAGTAAATCTGGGGATTGATAGCCTCAGACCTTGAAGATTCTTGTACCGTTTCAGTTGCGAAAAAAAAAATCATTCACAGAAAAAATTTCAAGGTTAGCTGGTTAGTTCGTCAGAAGTGGGCTAGATTCAAAATGACCTGTATATTGTTGGATCATATTGGGCCAAGGCCCTATATAAATGGGCCCAACTTAAACAAGAGGAGTGGTGATGAGCTCTAAAAGAAAGCTCCAGCTTGACTATTTTTATCTCAAAGGCCATTCGGAGTATCTTTTTACTTTTTACTCAGAGTTGGTTTTTACTTTTTGCTAACTTGGCTGATAGCATTCAATGCTAGGCCAATGCTCCTACCGAGTTCGACCCAATTTCAAGAGTAAGAAAAGGGATCTACGTGACCAATTGTGGGACAAGCCACAAAGACTAGTCAAAGCTTCGAAAAAGCGGAGTTCTCCTCTAAGGCAAGTATTAGTGGTCCAGTCATGCAAGAATGGAGGGGTACAGTATGAGTGAAAACTCATACTGTGTAACCATTTCCCTGCCCAGACAAGGTCTTCTCAGTAATCTCATCTAGCGCTTCTTGTAGAGAACATCTGTAATCTTCTTCGCGATGTTTGTTTTCTTCTAATATTCACTTGCCTTGCGAACCCACTTCTAGGCTCAGAAAGATCTACTACAAATAGGGCGGGCACTTGACTCTTTGGTTGAGAAGATAAATAAAGGGATTATGGGGTGGAACTTGGCAAGCTTGTTGAGTAGCAAGCTGCCTTGAAGCAACCATTTCCTCGACCTAAGCTGCTACGGTCAAGTTCTTGTTGATTCTGTCTTAATTCTGCCCTTTATTCGAGTAGTTTTTTCATCGCCAAATTGCCCGAGTCTTGTGCTTTTTTGAATCCAATCGTGAATGTCATGCCAGTCATACCTGTACTCTTCTTTTTCTTAGCCTTTGTTTGACAAGCTACTATAAGTTTTCGATGAGATCTTTTTTAATACTATCCTAGAAAATTCATGATTTATTCGAGAAATTTTTTTTAACTATTGATAAGATTAGGTAAGTCTTACAATATGAACTCTCGATTCAAACATTAAAAGTGTTAATCATTAAATCATTTGACAAGAGTGCTCTCTTAAAAGCATTCTTTTTGTTAAATTTGGCTTTGATAAGTTTCAAATCATGCTGAAGCTTTACTGGTTCATATTATGAGCCAACGATTTAGTAGACAGATAACGAAAGTGGGATTTTTTTCTTACATTTTTTAGTTACTTTCGAATGAGGTGGTGCTATCCGATGTTCCACCTTCAGCCCTGTTGTTATGAATTTGAAAATAATCACTAGTTCACATTGAATTAATTCAGCTCACAATATCGAGTTAATATCTATTAAACCGGCTACACCTTCAGAGCTTTCAATTTAGAGGATTCGTATCCATTAAGTTGATTCTTCGATAGAATTTAGATTCATTTAAGTCGATTTTTTATAAGCACAATTCACTCAAAGATATATCATGCTGCTCGTAGAGCATCATTACTCTTTTCTTAAGTCAACAATTACGCTTTGTGTGCGCTCTCGCTCTCGTGTTCCGCGCATATTCTTACTCTTGTTCTCACACAATTGTTCTGAACTGGTGTAGCTCTCCCGTTTCGTACTCGCTCTGGCTCCACGTGACTTACCTCTTTTCTCTCTCTATACACACAAGGCGCGCTCACTCTATTTCCGTGCTCCTGCTATTGCTCCCCCGTAACTTAGATTTTGCCGCTTCACTTGCCTCTTTTCTCTCTCTACACACACACACACAAAAGCGGGCACACGTATACCACCAGCATTGGGAAAACTTCGCTTGCGACAGCCACCCATCACTAGATGGTCTCTTGATTCTCTTTGAAAGTAAATTTATCTGCACTGTAACCCTCACTATCTTTTTGCTCCATCCTCGTGGTTTTTGACCTCATTACCCTCCTTGTCTGCGTTAATCCTTCATCCAACATCACTCCAGATCAATATTCTTATATCTCCCAAAATCGGTTTGTCTAAAATTGTAATCTAAAAGAAAAAGTATCAACTTTGAGCAAAAATGATCACTACTTCAGTAGACGAGCTTTGTGGACAGACAATTGTTATGACAAGGAAAATACTATTCTTGATAAGGTTGCAACTTCACTCCATTTTCGGTGTCCCTGCCTGGACATCTCATAAAAATGTAAAACACTTAATATTCTATGTGGTAGATATGAACTTTGCTGTTCTACAATGGAAATGATTTTATGTACACAACACAGTTACATGCTGTCAAAACAATTCTAAACCTAGAAAGCCTAGCAGAAAACCGGGCTGTAAAACAAGCATATCGCCTACTTATTTTCAGCAGCTTCAATTAGGTTTCATAACACTTTAATGTGACTTTTACTGTAGACAATGTTATTAACAACATACTATGAAAAGCACTTTGTTTGCACATCATTAGTCCAGTGAGGATGGATTTTCATAAATAAAGAGACTAAAAACAAAGAGTCTGAAGTTCAAACAGGAAATAGGGAGGCTGTAACATGACATCCATCAAAACTTACTTGCCAACAGAGCAAGAATTGTCAATCAAACAGCCAAGTCATAAACTAAAAAATGAAACTAAAAACAGTATTTGATTATCAAACCTTGTATCAATAATCACTAAGGAAGCTCCTAGGCTCCTTTATCAACTTGAGTAAATGAATAACAACGAATAAAATCATTCATATGATCCCATCCAAATGCATAAAACCACGATTTGTATCAGGCACCATGTGTAGACCTCTATGTCACCATTCACATTAATGAGAATGAGACTCAATCAAAAAGAAAAAGAAGAGGAGAATGATAAAAAAATAAAAAGGAATGAGAAAACATGAAAATGAGATAAGTACTTACATTGCAGATGTTAAGCAGGTCTTAATTATTGATGCCTTAACACAGTGTGCTAATCAACATGACCAAGCTTCGTTACTATATTGGAGCATTACCCAAAGATAATGAATCCCACACATGAAACTACAAGACGACAAAATTTCGTGATACAATTTCCAGGAATTACCACTCATTGAAAAATCTGAAATGGAGTGCAAAGGAACAACTGTTAACCGGATTTTTTGTGGAAGAAGAGCAAAAGTATATATCAGGTTAAGTTTGTTGCACAGAAAATGAAGTACAACTTTTTCCTATTATAGTTCTAGATTCCATATTGAAGACTCTTTTGTTTAATCAACCAAGGCAAACCAATTTAAGAATGACCCAATCTTCACGATTCCTGAAACAATAGTTGATAACAAATGTCCCCTGCACGGCACACTGCCAAGTCAATGGTGTCCGGGAATACAGCCTGCTATCTCTTAAAGGCATATACTAGGTCTGAAACAAGGACATAATCTAATTCGGCTACAATTTCATAATGTGAATTATATACATACAAGCATTAGATTAAGCTTCAAACATCAGCTACACTAAATTAAAGTAGCAAACAACATAAAAACAAGAACACCAGCATTTATTATTAACTATCCAATAAACCCTTACTTCACTCAGTCCACGGAACAACCACCAAAGCACTAAAAAGCCCCAAAAATCAACATGGCTTATCTACACACCAACCTTGATGTGTGAAAACTAACACAAACCAGGGGATTACATTACAGTCCACATTGATCACAATTGAGGTGCAATTTTACAAAGCTATCAGAGAAGAATGACATTAGTTTTAAGTTCATTTGCTCTCTGGCCTCCCTTTTCTAATAAGTAACTTGAATCACCAAGAATAAGTCAATATTCTAAAGTCCAGTAGAAAACTGTAACATGGAAAACAAGCATATACATATAGATACAAGCATTAGATTACTAAATTAAAGTAGTAAACTACAAAAAAAAAAAAAGAAAAGAAAAAAGAACACCATCATTTATTATTAATTATCCAATAAACTCTTAAGCACTAAAAAAGCCCCAAATATCAACATAGCTTATCTACACACTGACCTTGATGTCTCAAAACTAAAACAAACCACGGGATTACATTACAGTCCACATTGATCACAATTGAGGTGCAATTTTACGAAGCTATCAGAGAAGAATGACATTAGTTTAAGTTCATTTGCTCTCTGGCCTCCCATTTCTATTAAGCAACTTGAATCACCAATAATATTTTTTCTTTCTTCTCTCTACCTGTCTCGAAACCTTGACATGGGGCTTGAGAATTAAGACCCAAAGCGAGCAGGATAGAGTTAGACCAGTAATCACCAAGAATAATTCAATATTCTAAAGTCTAGTACCAGACTGTAACATGGAAAACAAGCATACGCATATGCATACAAGCATTAGATTCAACTTCAAACATCATAGCATTTATTATTAATTACCCAATAACCTCTTACTTCACTCGGTTTAGGAAACAACCACCAAAGCACTAAAAAAGCCCCAAATATCAACATAGCTTATATACACACCGATATTGATGTCTCAAAACGAACACAAACCATTAGCCATTAAAACTTACCTCATGGCAAGACTTCAATTTCAAGCCCTAGAATTCACTTGCATCATCAATAATCAACGCGATAATCGCTGAAATTATCCCTCACACCCAAATCATTCTCGACTCTCTCAGCAATTTTGTCCTCCTCATACTTCAATCCTTCATCCAATGCCAGTCCACCCAAAGTTCCCGCCACTGCTCCGACCGCCAATCCAGTTCCCAACCCCATCTTCCCTCCCTTTGGCTTCTGATCATACGGTGTATAATCCACCGGCGCGCTAGGTCCGCCGTAAGTGAACTGCCTGTCAAAGAACGGCCGTGGCGGCGGCGGTGGCGGCTGAGAGTAATACCCGGAATAGTACCCCGGATACGGATCCGAGTACGCGCCGAACTGATACCCATTTGTCGGCGGAGGCGGAGCCATTTTGGGAAGCTGAGATGGCAGAGGCGGTTGCTGTGGCGGTGGCGGAAGAGAACCCGTGTACGGCGAGGGAGAGTAACCCGAGTAGTCCCGGGCAGAAGGAGGAGGGGGAGGGGCAGTGGAGTAATAATAGCTGGGCTGAGGGGTAATATGGTAATCTGGCGCGGGAGGCAAGGGCTTTTCTCTGACGGCGAGCTTGATCCGGATCTTGCCGTGGGGGCGACCCGAGGGGCGGCGGAGCTCGTAGGTCCCGAGTCGGGCGGAATCGTCCGAGTCGATCAGGTCGGTGAGTGGTAATCGGAGACTGCCGACTAGGTTCTGGTTTGAGTCGAGGCGTCCAAAGTGGAGGACTTCGAGGACGAGGATGGAGTCCTGGAGAGGAGTGGTGAGAGGTACGACGAACCGCTCGTTCCAGACCGGGCGCGTCGAGCCGGAGTCGTCGTGCTTGGTGGACCGGATTTCAGGGTCGACTCGGAAGGTGACGTAGGGCTTGAGGTCACCGTGACGCCAGTTCACGTTCTTGAGGTGTTTGGCGGAGACGACTGTGATGTCGAGATCGAGCGGCTTGGGTGGAGGACGAGAGGTTGCCATGGAGGTATCGGTGATAACTTGCGCCGGAAGTGTGTGAGAAGAAGAAAGATGAGGGAGGATTCCTTGCAGAGATTTGGGTAAGGTTAGGTACTTATGCAAGTAGGGGGATAAAGTTGAGGAGGATATTGTGGTTTTAAGTTACGGTTTTGCCCTTTGTCTCTTTATTTATTTAAAAATAATAAAAAGTAAAATTATATTCACTAAATCGTCTAAATTCTGTAAAGTAGTATTTTTGTAAATCAAATAATTTTATATATTTATTTATTTTGTTTACACATATTCACTTTTTGTTAAATCAAATGAATCTTCAACTTTTCCATTTTCAAGCCTCCAACTTTTTAAAGTGCAAGAGTGTAAAGAGCCATCACTAGTTGCTTGCCTTTCTTGATAATATAACTTTGAAAATGAAAGTATTAAAGTAGTAATAAATATAAATTTTATTACTTTAAGGACAAAAATTGTAAGAAGATTTTAAAATTTATAAATTAGTATCACTTTTACTTTGTAAATGTATCATCACATGTCTCTTAATTTTGTTTTATTTTGTGTTGGTAGGAAGGAAAAAACTAATTTTTTTTTGTTATTTAGAGATGATATAAGGATATAAAAGATATAAGAAAGGATTACCAATCCTTCATCTTTTATAAATAAATTAAAAAAAAAGTGAATTATAGAAATTTTAAATTAAATACTATTCTAAATTATATAATTATTTTATTAAATATAATAATAAAAACAATTAAACTTTTTTTTTCATAATGGTAAAAATAATTTAAAAAATTTCTTTCATTTTGGTTTAGAGAACATGGTAAATTATGAGCTTATTCTTTTTTTAAGAGAATACTTAATCTTTTCCCTAAAAATGTCTCATCCATCATTTCTTCTCTGATTTCTATTCAATTTTTTTCTTCCATACATAAAAGATCATCAGTGATATTATCAAGGAGACACATGTATCATAAATTTTTATCCATCATAAAACTAAATAGGCCACAACTTTATAAATGCTACTACAACTCAAATATTGTTGTTCTCACCTTTATACCGTGTAAATGAATTTATCACATTGTTTATCATTTTTTAATCCTTTTTATCATAAGACATTTTTCTTAATTCGTATTAATTTTGTACATATATATTTATTTTAACACTCAACGTTTTGCTTTATATACAATAAAACCTATTTATATACTTTTCCCACGTCGTCAATCTCTCCTCTTCGTGATTTTGTATAATTGATTTAAGTATAAAAAATAATTATTTAAAAAAATTAATTATATTTTAATAATGTCTGTGTAGTTTTTTTTTTAATAATTTATTTTGTTTAACTTTCGGCCACTTTTTATGGTTTTTGTTAGAAGAATGATCTAAATAGAATATACTGTACATAATATACGCGTATATATCTGAAATATGTCCTTGTATATTTACGTTATCCTTAAAGGGCAAAGAGCCATCTATTCTATCAACGTCATTTTCTTTCTTGAACGGAACACCAAGGCTCAGTTTGGTAGAGTGGGTTTGAAGGGAAAGGGAAGGGAAGGTGATGGAAGGTTATAAAAAAATTGTGTTTGGGTAAAATTGGTGGAAGGGAAGGAAAGGAGAGGGAAGGGTTTGGAGGGTTAAGGCAAGGCTTGAACAGTAGATTTGTTAACCTCTCAAAAATGGGCGGAAACGGAAGGAAAAGGAAGGCAATGGCACATGTGATAATCGTGATGCCAATTTTACCCACACAAAATCAAGGATTTAGTTAAGCAAAACAAGAATTACAGACCTTAATTGGTTGATTTAGCAAAACAAAACCCGTACATATAAGTTAGCCATTGCACAGAGAAAGAGAGGGGGGAAGCTTACAGCGGCTGAAACTTGCGTACAGCGAACCCGAACTGGAACAACCGGCGATGGAAACGGCGAACCCAAACTAGAACAGCGGGCAAGAGAAACTGAAAGATATGGGTTTTGATTTTTGGAACAATCTGAAACAATATGCGGATATGGGTTTTGAACCTTTGATTCTTGCAAATGATAGATAAACATATGGGTTTGGAACTTGGATTGTTGTAGTTTTGTGGTTTGCAGTTGCAAAAGAGAGAGAGTGTTGCAGAGAGAGAACGAGAATAGAGATGGAGGCGGGGACCCTAAAATGATGACCCTAAAAATATTATATTTATATTAATATTTTTCTTTTCTTTTTCTTTTTCTTTTATTTTCTTTTTTTTTTTTTTTTTTTTTTTACAAATATTACATACTTAAGTTATTAATTTTTATTTTAAATTATAAAAGGGTATAATAGTAAATTTACCGAAATACTTTCCTTTCCTTTCTTTCCCCAAACATAATTATTATCCTTCCCTTCCTTTTCCTTCCTTAATCAACCAAACACAATACTAAATTAAAATTATCCTTCCCTTCCCTTTCCTTCCATTTCCCTCATAACTAATCTTATCCTTCCCTTTCAAACCCACCCTACCAAACATAGCCCAAAGCAAACCAAGCCATCAGATTGTGTGATAGCGAATACCTCGCTACCGCCAAACTCATAGATAGTCTCTCTCCCCCTTTCTCTCTCTAGAATCAGATCCCTTTTTCTCTCTCCACAAAACATTTTCCTGAGAAAATATGTCGGACGCCGTGATCAATGGACTCGCTGGAGCTGGCGGAGGAATCATCTCTCAGCTCATCACCTATCCTCTCCAAACTGTACTATTCCTCAATACTTTTATGTTTTCTCTCGCTTGAATTTCCATACATATAATGTATATATATCGTTTTCTATTTGCTCTAGGTAAATACTCGTCAACAAACGGAAAGAGATCCGAAGAAAGAAAAGAGGAAGCTTGGGACTGTAGAACAAATGTGTCAGGTCTATGTTTATTCATTTCATTGATGTTTACATGTAACTTTATTTTATTTTTAGCATTTTGTTTTATATATTTATATGTTGAATTGATAATTTACAGGTTGTTAAGCATGAGGGATGGGATCGCCTGTATGGCGGTTTAGCGCCGTCGTTGGTCGGTACGGCTGCGTCTCAGGTGGACTATTTAAACCTCCAATTCACCTTTTATTTTATTTTATTTTTTATTTTTAAGTTTTTGTTTGTGTGTTGTGCATTGATAGTTTGAAAGACGATGATTCATTTTTGGTGATGGTAGAACCCTATTATTTGTAAGGCTCGTAAGTTGGATTTGGGCACAATACATGAGTCATCTGTTTGGTTGCCGAGAAAAACCTTGGAAAAGAAAAGGAAATTTGGATTGCTTACCTATTTTGCCCGAGAAAAATCATTTTGTTTGTCATATTTACTGAGTCGAGCGAGTAGCTAGTGTGTTTAATGGCACAGAGCTGCCACAGATTGGTGTCCTGTTTCCATCATTGTGCAAGTGGTCCATGACAGTGGAAAACGTGCCATTTGATGGATTGGTTACCTAACAGGTTGTCGACACTAATTTATTTAGTTTGTTATAGTCATCTTTATGATAACAAAGTGACAATGAATACTACTTTTGAGGGTTTCATGTATAACTTGCCTTTTGATTCAATTTTTTGCCAAAAAATCAATTGTAAGATTTCAATTTCAGCTACAAAATGGCTAGCCCAATGCACGAGGCTCCTGCCATTGCTCCATGGGAATTGGCTTGAAATCAAAATCCTATTCTTTATGATTTCACCTTATGTGAATGCTTTATGTTAGGTTTGTTTTCGGGCTTGTCAGCTTGAGTATACATATTGGGTAGAATATTATTACTATTATACAAAGAGACCAAAAATGAATCTGGATGACATCACAATCACATGGTAACTGTATCCAAACATAACTTCAAGAGTTGGTCGCAGCCACAGTATTGGGTGGGGCTTCGTTCTGCTTCATTTGACTGATATATCGTGATATGCATAATCAATTTGTGTCAAATTCATAAATTCATCAAATTGTAGAAACACAGTATGGAAAAATGCAATGGGAAGCATACTGCAAGTAGCAAACAAGATGATACAAATGTTTGATTTAAGGGGTATCTAGTACAACACTATGTAAAATTTAGACAGCATATATGTATGCATGCACTATACTAAAATTGTCCAAACAAAGCACAAAAATATTATATTGTCAACATAGCTTAACATGTCCAAATTTTGCACATCTTAATAATACCAGATCATTCACCTCGATTAGTCAAGTAAAGTATGTGATGCTTCAAAACATGGGAGATGATATGGGAAAAAAGTAATCTTTTTGTTATTCCTAAGAATCTTCTTATCATGATGTTCTTTCATTGTTGTTATATTCTGTTTTCATCTTCTTCTGTTTTTTTTTCCCCCTTCTTTCTCTTTCTCCCATAAGATACTAGACATGCCCCTCATCCCAACTGAGACTTGAACACCTTGCACTTTTTAGTTTGGGAGTGGCAGGAGACACCACTCAAGTTAACATCTGGTGGCTTATTGTTGTGTGTTGGTCGGACATGGTACTTGAGACAATTCAACTCAACTGAAGCTTGCTTAATTTTTGCATCAGAATGTTAGTTTATACTCAATTTTGTCATTACTGATGCATTCAGCGTCTTCCTCGGATGGGAGAATACTTCAAGCCATGTTCAGGACAGCCCTGAGAATGTCTGTATATCATCTGATCCCTCAAGAACTTATAGGCATTCATATCATAATACACTGCATTAACGTCAATGGACATTGGAAGCAGATTTGCATGAATTAATGGGAGTGTTGTTGATGAGTCATGCTTTCTTAAAGCCATATGGTACTCCAATGTAGCAGTAGCCTTCGCCTGATTGGCTCCAGCCATAGCATTAAAGCAGTGAATTTGAGCTTTCATTGCTTAGATCAGTACATTCTCACTATCACAATGCAATATGATCTTGTTATTTCCGCCTCTCTGTAAGATGTGTTCTTTTTCCTGAAGTTAACTCTTAACTCACTTGTAAGATATAATCTATCAAGATTTATGGATCTATTTTATATGATTGTGGAGTTGTAAATTTTCTGATTGCCACACATATATAAGGAGTGGGCTGCAATCGCCAGTTATTAGAGACACTTTGGAATTCCTACTGTTAAGATATAAGATGGTTTAATGTTCGTTTTTCTTTGTGTTATTTGCCCCAAACTGAACTTCCTATCAAATTTTAAATTTATAAGCAATAGGTTAGATCTTTTCACATTGGACAGGAGGTATTTTTTATTACCTATTAGCTGTAGATGTGCAATCACTTTGTTTATGTAGATTTCTGATTTCTTATGCAATCAAATTTTTTTGGTACAGGGTGTTTACTATTATTTCTATCAAATATTCAGGAACAAGGCTGAAGCTACTGCTTTTGAACGTAAGAAGAAAGGGATTGGTGATGGGTCAGTCGGGATGTTCTCGTCACTTGTGGTGGCTGCTTTATCTGGGTATTTTACTTTGTTTATGGAGTATTTTAAAAATTTTATCCATCACTGAACTTCAAATACGGTTATGACATATATTCTTATAAAAAATTACAGTTATGGCATATATAGTTATTCTTTTTCTTCTTATACCCCTTACTGGCATGGACCAGTAATTGTCAGTCAAGTGGCTTATATTTGCATAGCCAAGTGGCATGGCAAGTTCACTCGATGGACAAGTTTCAGTCAAGTGGCTTGTATCTGGGTGATTTACTCTTTTTTATTTTCCCCCTTTGTACAGGTGTGTGAATGTGTTGTTGACTAATCCTATATGGGTAGTTGTTACCCGAATGCAGGTAAGAAACTGGTTGCCTTTTGCCATAAGTCTTTGATATTCAATGACATGAAATTGGAATAATCAATATCATCCAAGTTAAACTTAGTCATTTCAATAAAATTTATTCATCCTGTAAAAGGGTGTTTCAGTTCGACATTATTATCTTGTTCTTTTCTCTTTCTTTCTTTTCCTTTGACTGAAGTTAGTTTTTAAGTTTTTTATGGAAGTGAAATCAATTTATATAGGCCAATTTCCTTGTAAAACACCAACATTTTGTTATGATTGGTAGGAAGGGTTTACATCGTATTGCTGGTCCCAGTAAGTTGGATTCTATGTGATTTGAGAGCTACTGTAAGATCCTCTTAAAATCCTCTGGTATCAATCCTGATCCAAGTTATGAAAGTTCAATTGTAAAGATGGATCCTTATATGCTAGAATGCTTGAATGGGATATGTAGACAGCTCCAATTTGTTAAAGTATATGCAGCTTTGTCTGAACTTGTTCCCTTTAGTCATTTATTCAGCTAGGAAATGACTTAAATCTTGACCATTTCAAATGTATCCACTTTTCACTCTGCCACTTGGGAACAAAAATTGGTTCAGCTGCTGGATTTATACTTATTTTTTTATTTTTTTACTTTTTAAATTTGGAATTGAATTCCAAGATGATAAAATTAGAATTTTTATTTGAATACACTTTCTACAATTCATGATCATAAATCCTAATCCGACAGAATTATGCTTTTGATAATGATCTTGTTATTGAATTATGATTTGGTGATCAGAATAGTTGATAAGAATTTTATATTACAATTATTGTTTTTTATTTTTGCAATAAAAGAATACTGAATATGATTTACTATGTTTTTCCATTTCAAGTCCGACGTTCAGATGTGGAGATTTTTTGAGATTTCCTCCAATAAGAGAGAGAAAGAGAGGACCATTTTCTTTTCTTTCCAATGTTCATAAGTGTTCATCTGATTGCAACTAACGATAATGATGGTGGAACTAATTTTACAATATAATTTGACTGATGCTAAATCCAAATCCTTGAATCCCCATATATGGTTTTCTGAAATTGATCTTGCAGTATTTTTTGGCCTCGGCTATGCAAACTCTGACTTCAGGGTTTTTAAGTTCTGGAATTCATTCTCGAAATCATGTTCATCGTGCAGACTCACACAGAGAAATCCCAACCTAGTCAAACTCGATCAATTGTTTCAGATGAAGCAATTGTTGCTGCAGCGGAGCCTCCTCCTTATGGAACTAACCATGCGGTATGTAGAATAATGACTTGTTCGTCTACAATTCTTTACACATTTTTGTAGTGTCATTGAAACTTTTTGGCATACCCTACTGGAAGCTTCAGTTTCTATTAAAGACTTCTGGGAAGAAATTAGCTTCAAATTCTATGTACTGGATGTTTGAAGTTTGAACAAGGCATTATTTGAGCAAATCACATTGTGTCTGTATAAACATACTTTGTGGTGAACAACTCGCCATGAGGATGTGACGTTGGCTAGGGTTGTTTTCATTTTTCTAATTGGCTGTAACCATAGAAAGTCTAGTCATCATCACCATCATTATCACTGTTACTGTGCATATTATGCGGAGTCCAGCCTGCTATCTTTTTAATTAGTAATGTTTACCCTGTACAGATTCAAGAAGTTTATGATGAAGCTGGGTTTTTGGGATTCTGGACAGGTGTTTGCCCAACATTGTTCATGGTATGTGAGAAGTGATTCTAATATGTGGCATTGGATGATCGCTTATAGATCTCACTGATGTCATCAGGTGAGTAATCCTTCCATACAGTTTATGCTGTATGAAACCTTGTTGAAGAAGCGGAAGGAAAGGCGTGCCTCCAGTAAGAAGGGCAATAATGATATAACTGCTTCGGAGGTCAGTTGTTACTTGGAACTCCACAAGCTCCAGTATCACCTCCATTTTAATTATTTTCTATTTTTTGACATCACGATTCTACCTTCCCCCATTTTTCCCCCCATTTTTGTAGATATTTCTGCTTGGAGCTTTGGCAAAACTTGGAGCCACTGTTGTAACATATCCTCTTTTGGTTGTGAAGGTAACTGATGTGTGCTCATACAAATGAGATTGCATTTGGCGGCTTTTGTAATTCAGCTGAGTTAATTTGTGTTTCTCCGAATTGCAAGATAACTCTTTGAAATTTGATTTGGATCAAGCCTTTCTAGTTGTCAAAATAAATTTGACTGAAATGTATTACTCCAATTTTTTAGTTACTTTTGATAAGTAAAAGGTCACATAGGATTGTGAAAGTTTTCAAAAATGCAAGAGCAGGTCATTTCTTGGCCTTTATTTTATATTAAAATCTCACTTGCTCGTCTTTTGTGCGTGTGTGTTTTGATTTGAGAATGTATTGTGGGTCTGCAAGTGCAATAGAATTGAACCAAAGCACTGTCAGCAGCTCCTTTAAAAGTTTCCACCACCTGGTTGCTGGGAAAGCGCTCCTTAGGAAAATTAAACTATTGGGTTTCCGAAGGGCAGCGGTTTATGTTCCACCAGCCATAAGGATCCTAGGGATCCTTGTTTGACAAATACAAGTGGAGTCCAAGTGTTAGTGGATATTTGTAGTTACAAAGGATAGAAGTGGAGTTTTATTTTGTCTATGTAAAGCTGTATATTCTTATACCTAATATAGCATTGTATGTTATTAAAATAAATATTGGCTGGGAGGTACTTTAATTGGATGAAATGTTGCTGGTAATTAGGGTCTTAAGCATGAACAGTGACTACATATATCTGGTAGGAGCAAATAATTGAGGAGACTAAATAGGGACAAAAGGAAAAGGAATGGGAGCCCAGCCAAAACCAACCGGGAATGCATACTGGCCTTAGAACAGTTGCAATAGCCTTATTTGTATCCATATTATGTTCTATTTGTTTTTTTCTCTTCTTTGTTTGTTTAGGTTACTAAATAATTATATTGCCTTTGCAGTCGAGGCTTCAAGCAAAGCAACTTATTGGTGGAGACAAAAGGCATCAGTATAAAGGTCTGAGTTGTTGTTCCTTTTCTAATATCAGGAATAATGAAAATTTCAACCCATTAACCATGGTCTGTTTCGTCTATTTTTATGATAGGACCTGAATACACTCTATAAACTTGCATTCTATGCGTTAGACATGAAAGAGAATGCAACCGAGCACTGGATTTGTTTTTTACTCGACTTCTAAATATTATCCATTATTATTAATTTTGGGGGGATGGTGTCATTGTTACAATATAAGACAGTTTATTATTCTTATTTATATATTTATTTTCTTTGGGTGGGTTGGTTTGATTTGAAGTAATACCTCCAATTCTACATATATGTGATGATTGTCATTGGAATACCAACAGGCCAGTGGCCTAGCGGTATCAGCCTTTTACCTTCTAAAGGGAGGTCAGGCCCGTCAGTGGTTCAAGTCTCAGAAGAGAAAAGTGTGTATGAGTACCAATTAGGAAAAAAGAAAAAAAGATTGTCATTGGAATTATGCTGTTAAAAGCCATCATATCTTGAAGTTAATCTTGGTTGGCTAAAAATTTATGGCTGCGATTGAGTTGAGATGCAGCTCCTCGAATGACTTTATTTCTTTTTCCTCTGATCCGGCCTCTTCTTAATTTTTACAATATTGTGTGTGTAGTGACGACGTTGGCTTTCTTGTGATACAGGCACATTCGATGCTATCATGAAGATGATCCACTATGAAGGGTTTTACGGGTTTTACAAGGGAATGGGCACAAAAATAGTGCAAAGCGTCCTTGCAGCTGCTATTTTGTTCATGGTCAAGGAAGAGCTTGTCAAGGCAAGTCGCTGGTTATTAACGAAGGATGCCGTTAATATAGCAAGATCAAAGCCCCCATGACCGGAGCTCTCTCTCTAAATGCCTTCACAAGCAAGTTCTGTACCTTGTAGTAAACATGAAATACTTTGATTTATTGGATAATAATATGATACTACACCAAATCATTCAATCATCAGAAAGGTTTATTTTCTTAGTGTTACGTTGTGTTATAAAACTATGTAGTGCAATGTAATTGTTCGACTCTTTAGACATGTGATTTGAACTGAATAGTACAGTTTTTAAAGTATCCAGTTCGTTTTATGAATCTTGAAGTAACTACCATTCTGAACTGAACATTTAGCATTTCATAGGGCACCACGTGTGAGGCTTGTGGACCGTCAGATGCAGTGTATAACTTGCGTTGTATTGCAAAGGATCAGGACTCTTTATACGCGTGTTTGTTTAGTGAATTGTTGCACTCCAATGCTAAATTTATGTTTTCCTTGCATTAGTGTAAATGATTATGGCGCTGTACACAACAATGAGTGATACGAGGAGAACTATAGTCCTAAAATTAGGGCAAAATTCAGAAAAAGGTAAGGAATGTGTCTAGAATTGAATGCATTTTCTGCTTATTTCATGATGGCTTCTGTAATCAAAATAGAAGAGGTGAATATAAATAATTGAATAGAGAAGAAAAAGAAAATAAGTAGAGTTCGAAAATTTTCATCAGTCCAGTCATACAAAATAAGGCGGGGAGATTAAAAAGTAGGGAAGTATAAAGATAGAACTCATCAAAATTATATCATTGCGAGTAGATCACATCTATTCACAACTGAGCAATTGCACCATTGCCTTCAAGGTGATAGTCTTTCTCATAAATATTCCCTCCTAAATTCCTATTCATTTCATTTCGTTGATTTTCTTTTTCTACTAAATGAACGGAAAAGTGAAGCTTTTTTTTTTCTTAACAAATAACTTTCAAAATGTTCTTAGAGGTATTCAACATTCTCACACTTTGAGACGCGAAGATATGAGAAATTATTAAGTAATCTTGAGATCGAAACAAAAAGCTGAATAAAATTACACATTTGATTGCATGACATATTATGATCGCACCAGGCCACATGCTCTCAAATCATTTAATATCTTTTTAAAAAATAAATGCTGTCACAACATAAATTTTAGATCATTATAAATCACTTTTAGAAAAAATGCTATTGTGCATAGACTTTAAATAATCAGAAATCGCGAAAAGTGTTCAGTGTGGAGATCGTGATCGAAAATACAGTGTTTTTGGTGTTTTGTTTACAAAATTTTAAAACTAAAAATAATTTTACCATACATATTATTAACTGAGATTGACTTTTATTTATTTGTTTATTTATTTTTTTTTAATAAACATTACTAAACCACCCCCTGAAGTTACTCATTTTCTTTCATAAAAGACGGTATATCAAGGGGTTCCCCAGATTCGCACTTCGTGAGCCCACACAACTCACAATATCTGAGAGGTCTCACAGACTTGGTCGTCCCGGGTCTGTAACGCTTCACTCTACAAAGTCTTCAGCTTTGATCAGACAAACCCTAGTAGTTCGAAATGCAGGAAAAGAAGGGAGACATGGCATCCAACGACACCACCACCCCCGCAAACAAAAACCCTAAAAAGGCGAATCTGTTGGATCATCACTCCATCAAACACATCCTCGACGAATCTGTCACTGAGGTGATTCGCAATTCATCGTTTAGTCCACGCAAAATTCTTCCTTCTCTTTCTATATATGTATATGTTAACTGAGGCCATTGATTTATAGGGTTTTATGGTTTATCTGTGCAATTTATTTCGTAGATCGTTACAAACCGTGGATACATTGAAGATGTGAGGATGAGTAACGTTAGATTGTTGATGGGAACGAGCATCATCATCATCGCTCTCGTTGCTCAGTTTTACAAGAAGAAGTTCCCTGAAAACAGAAATTTTCTGATCGGCTGCATCATATTATATCCTCTTAGTGACATTTTATTTTTGTGTTTGATATTTGATGTATTTTGTCATCTGTTTAGTTTACTGAATAGACGCTAGAAAAGAGAATCAATTGAACATTTTGAGTCTCATTGAGTTTGTGTCTCTTTTTCTCAAAAATTGAAAAAATAAAAATAAAAAACTGTGAGAAGACTCATTTGATTTCTTATCCCCACGCTGGGTTTAGAACGGAGAGAAAGAAAGAAAATTAAAATTTTGAGCTTCATACAATCTCTTTTTTTTATTTTAAAAAAAATCACTGTTTTAATGTCCTAAAATTTGAAATTTGGAATCCAGTGGAACTTGCATGAGATGTTCAAGTATTATATAAATGTCACTGTTTTAGAATGTGTTTGATCTTTGACTCTGGCAAGTATATTGTATTCAATGGGTTATTGCAGCTGATCATATACACCAAGGAAAAGAATGCAATTTTGTTTACCTATCCTCCTACTGTAAGTACGCCTGTTCTTCCAAATGGAAATTTAATTGTACTGGTTTCACTTAGTGAATGTATTTATATTTGTCTTTGTCTCTAGACCTTATTTATTTATTTTTAAATGTTTGCCTCCTCCTGTGCATAATTGTTATTGTCATTTTTTTTTTCTTGGGTACAATGGCGGCCTCCCCCAAATCCATTACACTCCTTATCCCCCACCCAATATAAATAAATTAATAAATAAAAATAAAAATAAAATAAATAAGTAAATAGAAAAGAAGAACTTTGACGAAGGTACTATGATACAGTCACCTAGAGAAGTTACCAGCTAGGGCTTTTAGTGCCTTCCTTCTTTTGTCTACTGATCATCTGGATAAGAATAAGAACAAACTTGGAATAATATGATTAAGCTAATTCTAATCTACTTATTCTAGAGGTTGATTGCATAAATACTATTGCTCTCTAGGAGAGACTTCAATATGTTTATAGTTTCCTGGATGAATTTAAGAGAGAAGAGTAGTCTAGTTAGTCTTGCAAGTGTCCTATGAATTTTAGAGAAAGTATACAATACCCCCGGGGTATTTTTGACACGTGGTACCCCTCCCATTGAAAACTCTATTTTCCTTGATAATAGAGAAGTGTTTTCATTGAGAGGGGTACGACATGTCAAAGTACCCCCAGGGTATTGTATAATTTCTCATGAATTTAAGCACTGTGTTATGCCTTGATGGTATCAGATTAGCATATCTGCAGCTGGAAAAAATGGTTCTGCTCATCATTGAAACTTTTGTATGATCTTGTCAATTGTTGTGAATTCTAGGTTTATACTAATTCATTTATTAGTTTTGAATAAATTCTTTAAAGCAAGTTGGAAATTATGCATCTTGACTTCGATGGTGTAAAAGTTAACTGCCTCTTTTTGACCACTTCACTTCTTAGTTTTGAAATTGGTTTTTAAGAAAATCTTTTGAGAAAGTTGGAAATTATGCATCTTGACTTTCATGGTGTAAAAATTAACTCCATCTTGTAGTCTTTAAATTATAGAAGCCAATCTTCATTAGTCCTTCCTATCTTCACAGTACTACGTTGCCTGTTTTAATTGCAGTTTCCATCTTGTTACTGTGTTGTACATCGTTATATATTAATATTGTTAGTACAAGGGGTGATGCCAGAAAGAAATTTGTGAAAGTAAATGTACCTTCCTTTCCCTCATTATCTCTGTCCACCTTTTTTTCCTCACTCCCCTCTTCTCTTTTCTTTTTCTAAAAGTGCAAATTTGTATTTTGTACAAAAAGCACAAGAGAGATTGCCACCCATGTTCAGGCAGAGTATAAAAGAGGCAAGCTCTAGACTCTTTCTATACAACTTATTTTTCCTAAAAAGTCAACAAGAGTGTAAAGAATCAAAGAAACTATTAATGTCCATTGTTGCTTTCTTAATCCTACGATTCCACATTTTTCACATTCGCAAAAGCAGGTACATTCCTTTCTACTGCCTGCTTCTCATTAGACAAAAATTTGCTTGCTAAGTTTAACAAACTTTACTGCTAGCACAAAACTAAGCATCTCCTCCACAGTCCAGGACATCACCCAAGCCAACACCAAACACTGAGAACAATACGCACCAGAAATCACATGACACTGCACCAATGAAGAAGAAGGTGATTGGTATTATCCTCAGACCTCGAACATAGCAATGCCCATTTGAAATATTCTCCTCAGACCTCTTACATAGCAATGTCAATATGAAATAATATTTCCCCTTTCCAAGATTTCAATGGTTAAGATAGCTTCTAGAGTGTAGAGCGTAAAGCAGCAATCCAGACAAACAAAGATACTATAGAAGACACTTTGGTCTTCCAGAGCCCTTTCCAAGGGAACCTCACTGTGTGTCCCCAACATAACACTTTAAAAGGGTCTCACACAACAAATTACTCCTATTGGGCTTTTAAAAAAAAAATTGGTGCTTACAAAAGTAAGCTCCTTGTTTGAAGAACTCTGAAGAACGTAGACTTGCACACCAATCCCCCTTTGAGAATCTGACATACTCTGATACAAGTGTTCTTTTGTAAGTGGCAATTATGAAGATCACCCCCACACTAAGTATCTTGCTAGAATGTTACCAAAGGTCCAAAGCGCATCTCCAACTATTAACTCATTTCCTGGTTGAAGATGGAAACTCTCTCCATTCCTTTCTTTACCTTCTCATTTTTCTTTCTGGTCATTTTTCTTTCATGCCACTTGAATCTGGATAAAACACTTCTGATTTGCTCTAAAAGTGATGATGAAAGAAATACAAGGCTATCTTCCCAAGTATATGTTGCATGTGTAAAACAACAATCTGGTGGCAAGTTTTTTGTTACTTCATTGCCAACTAGTGTTTCCATCAGCTTGCTGTTAGTTGGAGTGTCAGGGATTAGTTGGGCTGCACCTCAGCAAACTCTTGAATTATATTCCCATCTCTGGCATCGCCGGGTTTCTATTCTACATTGTTGGATTGCTTTGAGATTTTGCATTTTCACCCATATTTAGATGATCTCTTTTTTGAGTATTACAGTAGCATTTTCACTCTGTTCCTCTATTACTTTCTTTTATTAAAAGAAGAGAGAGATTCGGGCCTGTGTTTCTTTGCAAAGGGGGGTTGATTTATTAGAATATCCATTTTCAATATATGACAGTCATCTTTCGTTAGATACCGGATAAAGCAAATCTTGGTTTACATTGTCCTTGTGATGGACCTGGAAGAGAGGGGACGTGCCAAATATTGGCTTGGGAAAAATTCTGTTCTTGATGTACAATGCAATTTTGGTACTAATATTCCATTTCAGCAGGAAAATGCTGTCACATGTTTGGGGCAGCAACATTTAGTGTATGGTGCAGGTAACTGCTGGATGATACGAGGAACCAAAATTGGCACGATTCATTAGAATTTTTACGATTCTAATTTCTGATGAATGATGGCCAAAATTTATAACATAGTTATGGACGTGGATGTAAAAAAAAAAAAACGTTCTACATCTTGAACTTTTGTTCTTTTTTTGGGGTGGAAGCATATTAAACTTGTTATTAACTTGTACTGTTGTCCATCTTAGTTATATTTATTTCATTACTTGTTATGGTTTAAATGACTGCCTAACTTTGTCTTGCATATGGACATTTGACCTTAAGTTAATTTTGGAGATATTGCTTTGCCAATAACTGGTTTCATTATTTCTTCTATTATCTATCATTTTTCTGTACAGGGATCCTTCAACAGCACCGGCCTGATGGTCTCTTCCAAGTTACCGAGATTTTCTGATGTGTACACACTTACTATAGCAAGTGCAGATCCCAAATCAATATCAGCGAAGGAACCAGTAGAATTCACCAAAAGCATCACTAAGTGGTCTCTCTCTCTCTCTCTCTCTCTCATGTATTATATTGCATTCAGAGTTTCTAATTGCATTTATTTTGTTCTCTCTTAATTGACCGTCACGAATATTCTTCGTGCAGGTTCACGAAGGATGGAGTTTTGGTGGAGGGCCTGTTCTGGAAAGATGTTGGGGGACTGATAAATGATTATTCAAGAGAATCTAAAAAGAGCAAGTGAATTCAAGCTGCATTCCTTTGGTGCAATCCTACTAGCTTGACTGGAATAACTCTCTATTAATATATTGCAAAGCATAAATATTATGTATTGAAATTATGGTTCTTGCTTGGATGGATCTTGAACCAGAACTGTGGAATCAAATCACCGCAAGTTTAGAAGAGAATTTACATCTTCAAGTTGTGGTTTTGACTATTGTGGCTAATGAAATTTTGGGACTATTTGGCATCCTTGATATCCCATTTCAGTAATTATCAAATGGTCACAGATATAAAATAGTGAAATATACTCTGATATATTTTTTTGGTATTTGAACAGCTTAAATTGATTAAAGATATGTAATTGTCATAGATATATAAACAAAATTTTATAGTTAGGGTAAATTCAAGTAACACACCCCTTGGGTTTGCCTTAATATCAAATTAAAAACAAACTAGGTAAATTGTTATCAACACACTCCTTTCAGGTACTTTCTTTTGACGCCATTAGCATGGGTCTCGCACTATGTAAAATGACACACACTCTTGACTTGCAGAAATACGTCAAATTACTTAATTACCCCATCAGCACAACATCTGCATATCTATAGAATCAACAACATAGAGCATATTGAGCTCCTTAATTAAGAATATTGGAGAAATGTTGAAAATTTAATGGTAAAATGCACTGCTCAAACTGGGATTTTTTTTTTTAAAGGCCATGCACATCTCCCGTACATCAATTACAAAAAGAAAAAAAATCAGGAACACGGGAGTTCCTGTGATATTTATTTTGAACACATTCATTGCATTATTTTTTTTTTATCTCCACTGTTAACTCTCACAATGTTCTCACAACGTATTTGAGAAGTTATTTTTTTTTTTTTTATCTCCACTGTTAACTCTCACAATGTTCTCACAACGTAGTTGAGAAGATTCGAATTCTTTATCTTTCACTTTAAGAGGAGGAAATACCACGGGTCTTAATATTCATTGCAATATAATTAAAATTGATTATTACAATTAAAACAATGCTCTTTAATATAGGGTTTGTTTGGTAATTATTTAATTTTTTTTGGGAGTTTGGTTATATACAAAGTGAAAATTTTAGAAAAAGTAGGATTCCTGCATTTGATCGATTTTCCCCAAATATTTCCTCCATAAAATATGAAAAATTTTACTTTCTCACAAAAACTGTCATTTTATATGTGAGTTTCCTATTCTAGTCAGAGTCAATTACTTATCCATCTTTGCTCTTCTTCCCAAAATATTCTCACATTCAGGCTAAACAATACTTGTCTACTCACCGGTGAATAGGTAATCTTTACTGATTGCTGATGTGGTTCAATCACAAATGCCCATAGTGCCTGTAACCAATTTTTTAAAAGTACTTAAAATCATTTGGTAAGTAAAATTATTTTCTTTTCCCTTTTATTTGGTAACTAACAAAATAATATTTTCCTATACTTTTCTTGAAAAAAATTTCTACTAACCAAATGTATGGGGGAAACTTAATTTTTGTTTGTCTTTCACTTTCCATCATAATTTTTCGTGTAACTAACCGGATCCTTAGGAATTACCTAATGACGAAAGCCTCAAATCTCAATATCGCAATATTATCTTCAGAAATTAAGGACTTCCGTCATGTGAGTGTTTGCAAACTACCTAATGGGCTACCCTCCGTACGTAGTTTTTACTAGTGATTCAAGATTTAAATTCCAATCCATTATTCTCCGATTCCATTAAACCATTTCACATAAGTCGTTCTCCGACCCGCTCCATTAGATATGTGAGTGGGAAGTTGAGAATTTTGATAGGGGGGTCTCACTGATTGAATTTTGTCTATTTTGTTCTAAATTTATATTAGGGCACACATTAGGGATGATACTGAATTTACCCATATATTTATATTAGGGCGTGTCCTAATCTTAAGTTTTTTAGAATTAATTTGATAGTGCAGGCATCCAAAAAAATGTTGTAGGGGCCTATAATTTAACATTTTATAGGTATATAATTAAAAAAAAACAAAATTAGTAGGTATATAATACAAAAGGAAAAATTTTCAAAATTGCCTCCACTAAGCCTACATTAGTTCAGTGTGAGTTGGCATCTCTGTGTTATATCATATCCGTACCATGCGTCTCACTATGCCTGCCTGACATATTTAGAGAATTGAGCATCCTCTATGTCAATTTTATAATACCGACAAATTTAACTTTGAGAATCATTATCTATAAAGAAAAATATGGAGTGTCAAAATAATTGCAACTTAGAAATTCTAGAATAATAACTTATTTGTAGATTGTAGAGATTTTAGAAGATTAGGGAGTGAGTATGTAAAAATTTAAACTATTTTAAAAGAGTATTCTAAATGCTCCGTTGTAACCGTGGATTGTTAGGAATCCTAAATGAGACCTATGCTCCATCGTAACTGTGGATTGACACAAATATAGCACGGGTGCATAAAAAAAATAGTAATTTAATATATTATTTTATATAAATAATAATAAATTTTACTTATTTTATTTACTTATCAAAAAATTTTACTTATTTTATTCATACAATCACGAATGAAATTACTAATGTGAAGTTTGAACCAGAATTTTGTTGTTATTTTTATTTTATTTTATTTTATATTATTTTTAAATATATTTCAAATTGCATTGAATTCCATCTTCAATTACAAAATCATTCTGTCCCACGTCCAAAAAGTGTATTTGTTTTGTCTCAATCATGTTTAAGTCAATTTCAGTATACTTTTAACCATGTTTACGTGTTTGACAATGCGACAGCAGTTTAGATGAAATATCTTGCTTTCTAGAATTAATTTTTTTGAAAAAAAAAAAAATATTACTTGGTATATATTTTGAGATATGGATTTGTTTATATAAGTCCGGTCAACAAAATTGAAAATAATTTCAACCCTAGTTCCTAATTTAATTTGCTTACACTTGTCAGTCCTGTCCATATCATGCCATATTTATATGAAGCATATGTTTTGTGTAAGCAAGGAAAGCAACTTCAATTGGTTAATTTAGTGCCTTAATTAATCATTATTGTACTTACCAAACATCTCTAGACGCCATCAAATTCGCTTGATAGTCGGCTATTTGATTACGTGGCACCTCAAACTACATTTCCTGTGGACCCTACAACAAAACTTTGGAAACCACCTGGATTAGAGCTACGTGTGTGGCCCGGATCTCAAATCGTCTATACTCCAGCTGCCCATATAATGCATTAACGGCACTTGCACTTCTGACACCGCCAATCATTTCATCTGCATTTCTCTCTCTCACGTTAAGAAACATTCATTCCGATTGTGAAAATTTTCAATTGGGTTGATTTTCCGAGAATTCAAGTTCACTTAGGGTTTTGATTTGAATTTTACCGGTTTGATAGCTATTTGAGAGAGAGAGGAAGTTAAGAGTTTCGGATCTTCTTGTGATTTGAAGATACTTTGCAGCATCGCAATGGTTAACCCTAAGAAACAGCAATGTGTTGACGAAAGCGAGATTGGGGATGATCGTGTGGATCAATCCAATGACGATGTTTCCGATGATTCATCATCTGTTGGTGCCTCCTCGAGTAGTGTTGAAGCCTCTTCGATTTCGGGACGTTCAAGAGGGAATGGTGGTTCTGGTATTGAGGTTGGGCTGACGGAGCGTTTGACGGACATACTTTTGGAGGAAGGGGACGGTGATCTGTTGCTTCAACAGAACGATCGAGAAGATAGGGTTGTACAGTGGCTCCAGGCTCTGGATTTGCAACTTATGGGGGCTTGCCGTGCTGATGAAAGGTTAAAGCCTTTGCTGAAGCTGAATGTCTCGAGTGGCGCGGCCGAGTATCGTCTGCTGGCTCATCTAAGCAAGGTATGTGCATGGATCAACTGACAATTTACTAGTATGGATGTAATTTACAGTATTTTTTTAGAAGGGTTGCTATAGTTTTAGTGAATTTTCTACTAAGTCACCGTGTTTCCACTGCGCGAAGATTGTTTTGCAGTTCTACTTATGAAATGAGTGTTATAAAATCTGTGAGTGTTAAATATTTCATGCACTTTATCTTCTGAACAGTTAGCTGTGAACTGAAACATGGAAGCAATCATATATCAGGAACTCATGTAAAAAAAGGCCAAACACAAATAAAAAAACTCAATACTCCTGATGAGTGAATAGTGGAGTTTTGCCATGTTGCTGTGTGTAGGTAAGGGGTTTGTAGTACAGTAAAATAAACAGAATCAGTGGGGGTATATTACAATACAAGTTGAGGAACCCAAAGAGTGATTCTCGTAGAAGGATGAGAAGTAGACCAGCCAAAGGAGTAAATGGTGAAGGTAGGAGTGTTTGTGCCAATGACAGAGGATACATGGGCTAAGGTGGTTGCGATTCTTGGTTGCTCCGATAATGCTCCACCATGCATGTATTTATAGTCCTAGGTTCCTTGGTTACTCAGAGATTTGAGGTTTGGCAGGGTTTTACCCAGCACCTAGGGTCATAGGTCATTAAGCCTGCTATACTTTTGCTACCTAAGTGGTTAAACCTTTCCTTTTGTTCCGCTTCAGCGTGACAGCGACGCATTAATTGGATAATACAGACACAAATTTCATTCCGCTTATAAACCGCGACAGTAGTTGAGCATTAATGGTTCAACTGAAATATTAATTATCATGGTAAGGGTTTCTGTCATGGCATGTGTTTCACCACTTCCTTGGCTATACCCGCTAATCAAGGCATGGTCTGACTTCTCATCCACCATTTCAAAATCCTTCTAAGTGTATAACCTATGTTGGTAGCGGTGGCAATTTACTTTGCCTCAAAGGTTTTACTCCCCGCCCCGTATGGGATGGAGTTGGTATACCTTTATTAGGGTTAGGGGCGGATTTGGTATTCAAAGATTAAATCTGAATTGGGTTCAGGGCAGGGTGGGTATATTCCTATTTCACCCTACATACTTAATTCGTTAATACCCTGTGGTTCAAGGCTTGGCTGGGTTTTACCCAACTCCTAGGGTCCTAGGTCCTAGGCTACCATTAAGCCAACTATGCTTTTGCTAACTAAGTGGTCAAATCTTTCCTTCTTTTTCTCTTCAGTGTGACAGCGGTCAATAATTTGATAATACAGGCATTAAATTCACTTGGCATATTTACAGCAACGGTAGTTAAATATTAATGGTCCAGCTCTAATATTAATTATGATGGTAAGAGTTTCTGTCATGTCAAGTGTTTTACTACTTCCTTGGCTGGGCTCGCTTTTCTAGGCATGTTCTACTTCTCATCCACCATTTCAAAATCCTTTTAAGTATCCTAGGTAGCCTATGTTGGAGGGGTGATAATTTACTTCGACAAGACGTTTACGCTCTGCCTCGTATGGGATGGAATTGATATACCTTTATTAGGGTTAGGAGCGAATTTGGAATAAAATGATTAAGTCCGAATTGGGTTCGGGGCAGGGGCGAGTATATTCCTTTTTCGCCCTGCCCACATACTTAATTCAATATATATATGTATGTATGTATATGTATTACTCACTTTCTCTAGGGTTTACTTTACTCGTTCTCGGCCACCACTCACAAACCCCCTCCCCCCCCCCCCCCCCCGGGGAAAACTCTCCAATCCTCTCATTACAAACAATCACACTCCTACACAATGTTCTTCAACTTATTTCAAACATCTTTACTGGTAACCGTCTTAAAGTTGACACAATGTCTTCTACGCTCATGGTAGCAGAGAAGATGTTACCACGACAGTGTTTTCCAATCAACCTTCCAATAATATTTGTCTGTATACACACAAACACATATATGGTTTTTCTTTATTTTATATCTACACATATAGACACTTTTTTACGCTTCTCAGATTTCAAAAAAGCAAGGATTTTTTCATAATCTATGTATATAGAATTTGTGTGTAATTGGAAAGAAGTTGAAGAAGATTGTGTCCCACGATCATCACATCTCTCTCTCTCTCTCTCTGTGAAAACGAGCGGGCCAAACGGGGCTGAGATGGAATCTCTTATATTTTCTAGGGTGGGAATGGGACCGCAAAGAAAAATATGTCCCAGCTTTGGGATGTGGATGGAGTGTAAAATTTCTTAACAAGGTGGGGTAGGGTCCACTCAAACCTGTCTCAAACCCGCCCCGTTGTCATCCCTATATGTTGGTGTTTGAGGGGTCCTCCTACCTGTGCTTGCTCGATATCACTACCTTCGATGCTTTTTTGGAGACTCGAGGATTTCTCTGAGGTTCATTTTCTTGGAGAGCTTCGGAACTCTTGGGACTCGAGGGTCTGCTTCTCGAGGTTGAGGGGCTTGGGAGTATATTTTTTTGAGGTTTTCTCGACCTGGAATGTCTCGGGTTTTTGGACTCAAGGATTGCATCTCGAGGTTCAAGTTTTGAGAGGTGCTGCTCGAGGTTTATTTGACCTGAGAGGCTTTCAGGGTTTCAAAAGACTTGAGGGTCTGTTTTCTCAAGGTTTCTTTGACCTGAGAGTGTCTCAGGGTTTTCAGATGACTCAACGGTTTGTCTTCTCGAGGTTTCTTTGACCTGAGAGTGTTTCAAGGTTTCCAGAGGACTCGAGGCTTTGTCTCCTTGAGGTTTATTTGATCTGAGGATGTGTCAGGTTTCTTTTGGAGTAAAGTGTTTTTTTTTTTTTTCCAAAGTGATCATATCTTTTGTTTTGACCTCTGCTGATGTGGCCTCTGTTTGACTTTTGGTGATGTGGCCTTTATTCACACAGTGCTTGCTATAAATTTTTTATTATTTGTTTTAAGTTTTGTGGGTTCTGTATTAGAGATTACCTTGTTCATTATCTTCATTGTAATTTTGGGGATGCATGTGTTTTTGTGTGCGTACTTGTGCTAATTTGTTCACTTAGTAGCTTACATTGATTTTGTTTATTAAGCAGCACTTTGAGCCATCAGAAGTTGGTATGCTAGCCAGGTGCTTGTGTATTCCGCTTGTTTCTGTTCGAGTCGGAAAAATTAACAAGCAAGGGACTATCCTGTCCCCAACTTCTACAAGGTAATTGCAAATGTTTGGACACTCCTTTGTATATTAATGGTTGTATGTGTAACAATTTGTTATCATCTGTAGAACAGATGCTAGCTACATTTCCAAACTAGTAGTCTGACTCGTTGACAGGCTTATTAGTCTACTATAATTGAAAATTACAATGGTTTTTTTCCCCCATCTCTTTGGACAATAAGAAAGTAACACTTTCCTAGTGCTGACAGTGACAGTATGCAGTTTCTCCACATGTCAAACATTGTTTCTTTCACCTTTCTTGTGGTTTGTGTTTAGAGTGTATGGCTGTTTAGCTTTAGACAGAGTGGTTGATCCATTTTTGTAGAGAGTCGTAACATCACCGGGTTTTTTTTTATTTTTTTATTTTTTTTATTTTTTATCTGGATGTTCCTTTTGAGTAGTAGTCATATAAATTGTGGTTCAATATCTTATTGATTCTCTTGGAGCTAACAGATAAATGTTGCTTCTCCTAGAATATATAAATGTTGCTTTGTAGAGCCATATATTTATTTTTACTAATTCAAAATAAACTGTCGTCATTATCATAACAAGAAGCAGTCTATTGATGCTTTTGATAGCTCTCTGGTTCTGATTCACTACATCATTTTATACAAGAATGAATAATATTATTTAAATACAGGCAGCTGGTTAGATGCTTGCAGAAGATGGAATATTCCTGATACTTAATGAACTTTACTGTGATCTTAAGGCTTTTGTACTTGATCATATATAACGGTATATGTGTTTGTAGCAATGCTCTTATCTATTGCATTGTATGACTTATTTATATGATCATTTAACTTATGATTTAAACTTAGTTAATGGTAAATATATCAAACATCATATATCAAATACAGGAATTTTATGTTGTTTGTCCTTAAGAGATGGGGAGCTTATTACACGTTTCTTTTCCTTTCCTTCTCTTTCTTTTTTGTTTTTTGTTTTTCGTTTTTTTTTCCCCTTGTTTGGGGAAGAGGGTTAGGAGGTACATGGGGTTTGCATGGGATCATAACCATCCAACATATTGGGAGACTAACATAAGCTTCTAACTTCATATGTTGATGGTAACCTTGTCTTGGGGAAAATGTGGCATTCTTTTTGGAACCTTGTTATGTCCTGTTAGTTTAATAATTGTTAATACTACAGACGTTGATATTTTAGTGGCAATTTCAAGTGTTTGGATTATATTTTCCCCATGTTGAGTGATTTTATAATTTTATAAACCTAGAAAGTTGTTCATTTTCCAATCCCCAGCTTGTTTAGGGACTAGGTTGCATATTTGAATGTCTCGAAAATGAATTGTGAACATATTTGACTATCAGTGGTGCTGTTTGCTGGATTGTGTTTGGTCAGTTCATAAACCACCACAGCATCTTGATATGAGACTTTATAGCTAGGAGGTGAATGTTGTCATGGGGAGACACCACGAAGGTTGGAATAATGAATGCATCTGGCCATGTTGGCTATGTAATTTGTGAGTTTTTTTCGTTGCACTGCAACACTGACATTTTAGTATGATGCTGCAAGACGGTCGTTTTGTGGTGCTGAGGAGGCCCAGGACGACATGGGCCGGATCTGACTTGCAAGCACGACATCCGGTCCGTACAGCTGGGTCAGCCCATAAAAAGACACTGCCATATGGGCCGAACGCGAATAAGCCCATCAAAGGTGACCAGGACTTATGGAGGAACAGGCCCAGATCCAGCAATCCGTCAATATTTGTAAATATCTTGTAAATATCTATAAAGAAGGGAAGGAATGAAGAGAATAGGGGGATCTTTTCGTTGAAATGTAAGAATTCTAGAGAGAGAAAGAGAGTATGAATTTCTTGCATCTTCAATTGGCGCCGTCTGTGGGAATCGCATGGAAGTTTGGTTGATCATTGAGGAATATCGAGTGGATTCAGACCAATTCGGTTGATGGAGACTCGATCTTTGGGATTTGGATCCAGATCTGAGCGATTGTGACCTACTCTGGAGGAATTACAGTTCTTGAAGCTTTGGCAGAAGTGGCTTCAGATCTACGCAACAACGAGTTGTTCGATTGTGGCAGGATCTGACGGATTTAGAGTTCAGACAATTCAGATCTCGTAAACGATGAGCATAATTCGGAGAATTCGAAACCAGATCTGAAAAATTCCCACTCACGAAGCTCGGATCTACTCGCGAACTTGAGATTAATGCCTTTACTCCGTTCAGGAATAATGATAGGTGAAAGCTCCAATCCGATGGAGGCTGTCCAGCAAACAAAGCTTGAGGAGTTGATGAACTTGATTGAAGCTCTCAAAAAAGAGAATGCAGAATTGAAAGCTGGAATGCAACATCGGCAAATACCTGCGGTTTCGCATCCACCTCCGGTCGGTGAAGGAGGTCTTCAATCTAATATCGCGCGTCAAGGCGAGCAGGACGAGAACAATCAGTCAGCTCACCACCGTGATGAAAGGATGATGGACAATTTGCCGCCAAATGTTCGTCGAGTTGAGGATCACGAAGGATCGACTCACGTTGATCCGCGACATGAGCAGATTAGACGGAATGAAGCCATAACCTTCGATCCGCATCGGGAAAGGTTCGACCGAGAGGAAGTGATAGAGGTTGATCGCCGTCGAGTAGCGTCGCCTTGGCAAAGAGAGTTCATAGAGGAACGGTCGTTCGATCCGTCTTACCGGCCCTCCATGGCTACTATCACTCATCGCGGTTCGGAGGGCAGAACCGTAACTCACAGAACTACCGCTGGACTCCAGAGAGAGAATGAAGCTCTCCGATCCGCAGCTCGGACGGTTGATTCACCATTCACCGACGAGATCTTGAATGCCCCGCATCCAAGGAAGTTTGCTATGCCAGTCTTTATTCTGTTCGACGGAACAACCGATCCGATCGATCATGTGTACCATATCCAGTTGAAAATGGCCCTGAATACGGAAAACGACTCTTTAATGTGCAAATGTTTCCCTACAAGCCTAGCCGGACCGGCGCTTAGCTGGTTCAAAAACTTGCCTAGGAGCTCCATTGGTAGCTTCAGAAACCTGTGCGATCGGTTCATAAGCCAGTACTATGGGAACAAGCGCCCGCCGAAGGACATCTCGAGCCTATTCACGATGAGGCAGCACAAGGATGAACGTCTCCAGGCTTTTCTTACCAGGTTTAATCTCACTAAGAGTATGGTGATCGAATGCCACCCTTCTACAGCAGTTCAAGCCTTCAAGTTAGCCATGACACGCGGAACTCCGTTTCACACCAGTCTGGTAGTGAACACGCCGACTACTATGGATGAACTCAATGAAAGAGCCGATGGCTTTGTGCGCCTGGAAGAAGAGGAGGCAGCTAATGCTCGGACAGCGTCGCTCGTGTCGACCGAGGAAAAGTCCAAGGCAAAGATCAGGCAGAAGCAGGCTCAGCCGCAACGTCAGACCTCTTGGAAGGCAGAAAAAAGGTCCAGGGAGGAAGAGCTGATTACTCCGCTGAAGGTCACTCTGGCGAGGCTGTATCAGGAGAACAAAGATAAGTTTCATCCACCACTGCCAATTAGGCAACCCCTCGAACAGAGGGATCAAACTAAACATTGTGCTTTCCATTCCGATTTCGGTCATCAGACTAACGAATGCAGGAACCTGAGGAGGCAAGTGGAGATGTTGATAGCTAGAGGGGAGTTCGCGAGTTATGTTCAAGGCTCGGCGATAGAGCAGAATCGACCGGTGGAACAAATAAAAAGGAGTCATAAACAAAGCTCCCACAATTCACAACCAGTTCGTATAATCAATGCTATCCATGGTCGACCCGAGCCTAGTGAAGAGTCAGATGAGCTACTCCGGGCGCGCCTGCGGCAGGCGCAGATGAAGAAAAGGGTCAGCAGTGTGAATACTCTACACCAGCAGAGCCCATCGATGCAGATAAAGTTCGACTGGACAGACCTGCAGCGTGTTCAACTGCCCCATGAAGACCCGTTAGTAGTCAGTTTGACAGTGGCGGACTGCTTGGTGCGCAGAGTTCTGATCGATCCTGGGAGTAGTGCGAATGTCATGCCGAGGGACACATTTGATAGGCTCGAGATTAAACCAGAGAGGCTCAAGCCCACTGGAAATCTCTTGTTAGGGTTCGATGGGAAGAGGGTGGAGCCTGTCGGGATGGTGGAAGTAGAAGTTCAAGCTGCAGAACGAGCTCTTATGGAAACTTTTGTGGTTGTAGAAATTCACCCCTCGTATAATCTCCTGATGGGAAGAGGATGGATTCACAGAGTCCAAGGTGTACCCTCAACTCTGCATCAGGTCATGACGGACCCGATGGAGATAAAGTGATAAACATTCGGGGGGATCAGGTTGCAGCCAAAGAGTGTTATTCCGTCACACTAAAGTATGCTGGGAAAGGGAAGGCGCCCGTCCGTTCGGCAAGCCCCAAATAGCAATTACAGGAACCTCCGCCCGAGCAGAACAGGGTGGAGGAGTCAGTCGACTTGACCGAGGAGCCCCTTCTGGATGTGCAGATCGATCAGTCCAGGCCAGAACGAACTACCAGAGTAGGTATAAGACTGACCAGAGAAGAGCAGCAAGAGCTAGTGGATTTCTTGTCCCACAATGCCGACGTATTTGCATGGAGTCACCTAGACATGCCTGGAATTAGCCCCTCCGTATCCTGTCATTCCCTGAATGTCAATCCCAATTTCAAACCAGTGAAACAGAAGCAGCGAAGATTTGCTCCAGAACGTAATCAAATCATAGCGGAAGAAGTCGATAGGCTGCTTGATGCGGGATTTATCAGAGAAGTGCACTACCCTGATTGGTTGTCCAACGTCGTTGTCGTGCAGAAGAAGAATGGGAAATGGCGAGTATGCATTGATTTCACCAATTTGAACAAAGCCTGTCCGAAGGATAGCTTCCCGCTGCCTAAGATTGATCAAATGGTGGATGCCACCACCGGGTATGAGCGTTTAACCTTTCTGGACGCTTATTCAGGTTATAATCAGATCCCTATGGACCCCGCAGATGAAGAAAAAACTTCTTT